TACCCGGTGGCAAGCGTACATAGCCGAGCGTGTGAAAACTCCATAATTGTATTGGGGTGCATCTAGCTGCGATGGACTCACTGACGGCGGAATCTTTTATTGCGTCTTTTGTTGGCAGAAGGATGATCCAGTGTGTATGCTGTCACCATGGTCACGCGCCTAGCTTCTGGACTCGGTGCCAGTTAATCAGGTTCAGGATGCATGGGTAGTGGATACTACTGACCGTTCTGCTTCGACTGCCGTAGCTGTGAGCTACTGTAAGACCAGATATTGTAATGTCAATTAAAGTTAACGATCTCCGGATTTTTGTGGGTTAGTGAGGTGAAATTCTAACGAATTCTGTCTCAAAACCGGCAAATGACTATACATGTACATATCGTTTTTGCACATGACGACTTCAAATGTTAACGATTCTTTCAAATCCATCAACTCGTTAGAATTAAATGTTCGTTAACATTACTGGTCTTACAGTACAGTTTGATGTCTAGTCTGGCTATTCATGGTGACATCAGTGAGCCCAATGGCCGTGAAAGACTGATGTCATAACACATATTCCATGGGAATATGGCTGCATGGGTGCATTGCATGTGAACCGTCCCCACTACGCATGTGTGGACATTGTTTTCTGGCTGTGATGTGCGGCCGGCTCAGGTACATAGTGAATGGACGGACCGGTGCATTAGCCTGACTCGTCCCGGTGTATTACCTTCACCGGGGGCGTTATACTGGGTTGGCGTTAATATGGGCTTTTACGGTATCACGTACAGAGTACGATTTTTGGCAAAAAGGAATCCGGTGGATCTGGCCAACCCTGCTCACGGAGTAGGGTTGATCAGATCCGGATTTGTTGAAATGAAGGTGCTCATATCGAGTGGATCCGATTGATCTGGATCCAGAATCCAGATCCAACCGATCGAACATGCCCTAAGTTATACTACAGTACCGTACATGCACATGGAGCTGTGCATGCACTGCACCTGTGCTTTCCGCCCATGGACGTTCACACGGAGGTGGGCTAGAAACTGGGACAAGAGTGTGGACACGCGGCGACTGGGGTATAGGTTGTGGGCGCTACACTGGGTGGTCACGAGTCGCATTTACGGGCTTTTACGGTGGTGGGATGGTCAAGGACCATGATTGAGGAACAGAGGGTACCAGGTTCAAGTCTTGCTTGGACGCGGAAGGATATTGTTTCAGCCTTGCTGCGAACCACAGTTGGCGGGGGAACTCGTGGTCTGGCACTAGGGAAACATAGATGCAGTGAATGTGATTTTCGGTCTTTGACCACTTTGGTGGTTCTGATCTACTCACCTCCCACTGCTTCAGGAGCTGCATCTGCGTCTTTCGTCTTTGCAGGGTGGTGGCGTTCCTACGGACGCTGAAAACTCACTCTAACTGAGTCTCGAGCAAGCCATGCATAAATGATGGACAGCTCCTTGTTATGTAGTAGCCACTACTTACACCAGGATAACTGCCGCCAATAAAACCTAAATACAATGTAGCTCTCAGACTGACGTGTTAGTTGGCTGTAGAAAAGTGTATAATGTACTGTACTTCAAGGTCATGCACAGAGGTCTACAATCATGTACTCCTACCACCAACCCGCAGCGGGACCAGCACTAGTACTAGCAAGAGTCCATAACCCAAGAGTGTGCAACTGTGATTATGGGTGCATGCGTGGCGCGCTGCCTTCATTACGTAACTTGCCTTCATCCCGCTCTGAAAGCATGCATTCAAACTCTCAATTTCTCGCACGAGCCCATCCGGTTTTGCTCGATTCGTTCCAGTACCTACACAATCTCTGAATTCTGGCACGTGAACTCCAGTTCCGTACGAAAGTTCATTTCAAACTGGAGGGAAAGTGCGGTGTTTGATTTTCCGCAGTGCGCGGACTGCAGCTGAATGATGTAATGAAGGCAGCGCGCCGTGCATCTGGCCCATAGAAAAGAGATCACAGTTGCATACTCTTGGGTTATGGACTCTTGCCGTCTTGGTACTAGTAGTAGTAGTACTAGTAGCTGAGGACCATGATGTGAATGGCTATGTACATGTACATGTAGATAGTGACGGATGTACACAACCATTACTTGCATGCCACTGCCACTGTGACTTGTGAGCAAGCCCAACCAACGCACACCATGAATCCCAAATATTAATTACTTCAAAGTAAATACAATGTGGTACTTTTTCTATGTGGTACAGTCAGACCTCGCTTATCCGGTCCTCTTTTATCCAGATCCGTCGCCATCCGGAAGAAAATAGCTGGTTACAGATTTACAGCATACGTGATGCATCCAACATACTAGTAACTGGTGTTCGGTTATCCGGTTCCCAAGTACTTGTGTGCGGTTAATTAAAGGGGAAGTCCGGTGAAAAATTTAAATTTCAGGGTCGGTAGAGTTTCGGGCGCTGAGTCGAATGGTGTTGGTCCCACGTGTCTCCGACAAAGCGTTATCAAGATATTTCCGTTTGAAAAACTGAGTTTCGGGGGCTGCGCCATGACGTCATGCGGCCGCGCCACACCCTCTGCAACGTCATAGCGTGCAGCTAGGTCAAAAGGAGTGCGTGAAAGCAATAGTGTCAGTGCTATTTCAAAATGATTTGGCGACTGATATTAGGTGGTGCAAGCGACCCCGAAGACCTGTAACTCCTTGTGAGAGTGAGGATGCAGCATGGCTGACCTTCATGAGTTCGGTCTGGGGCTGAGAACCTCGGTATTCAGCTGAAGAAATGGCCGCGCGGGCCCGTCAAGAGTGAGCGCTACTGAGTTTCCGACTGATGAAGAAGCAGCAGCTATTGCAGACGAGGCTGCTGTAATTATCAGATCGCTGGAGAGCAGGGTCGCCAAAATGGAGAAGAGTGATGCGAGTGCTCTAAATGTTGTTCCATACCGATTCGATTCGCTTAGACTCCAGTAGCCTGCCACATGGTGATGTTTTGGTGCGAACTTGGAATATTTCGGACTACTCAATTGGAGAACAGTGCAGGCTCTTTGAACCACGGGCACGACTCTTCGCTCGCAACGCTATGGAATCTGGAAGTTCTAGGTCCGGGAGCTGTTCCCTGTTTTGTCACTTGTCACGGTTGTGCACTCATCGCTGTAGCATAGAATAATGAGGCGGGAGCGGAAAACTAAAATTTTCTTTCTCAAAGCACAATCACCGGCACCGGCAAGGAGAAACGCACGTTCTCTGACTACATGACTGTACAATACGACTGATACGAGTGTAGTACATGACAAGTCCGTGTGTTGACTAGTTTTCTGAGTCTTGACTCTTGTGTCAGTTGTGACTCGAGTCTTGTTGTAGAGACTACCCCAGCACGGCAGTGCGGGAGTAGTTCCGTCTGTGATGAGTTTGTTGACTAAACCACAGCTAGATAACACACTGCATGCACGCAGCGCACAGCGCGGAGAGGCTGACGGAAAAAGTCCAACTCGGAAACGGCTAAAATACGGTATAACCTCGAGGTTTACCGAGCTGAAAATCACAGGGTACGTAGTGTTTGTAACACTGAATCGAATGGTCTAGGTCCGAAGAAGCTGCGACAAACAGTTCCCCAATCGAACGCGCTCCGAATATGGCCATTTATGTACACAACTAGATGGTGTGGCTACCGGGCTGCACGCTGTGACGTCATCACCTGGATCTGGGTGATGCGCGCTCAAATTCGCACATGTTCGATTGGGCGTATCTGACGAACCATAAGCCGCAGCCTCCTCGGACAAAGACCATTCGACTCAGCGACCCGAACTCTACGGACTGTGAAATTTAAATTGTTCACCGGACTTCCCCTTTAAGCGAGGTCTGACTGTAGTTGGCTGTGGAGCCTGGAGGAGTATACATGTGTACCTGTGGCTGTAGACTAGTGTGTGGTGTAAGCAAGCACGGGTAAAGGGTACGGACTAATCTTGGCTTACTGCAGCGCAGTACTCAGGATGTTATCCTCATGAGTCATGTTGCAGCTTGCATCATCCTGGGTAACTCTGGGCCCCCGAAGCTGATTGAGCAATCATTCTGATGGCATACAAACTAATGTAAAAACAACTTGGACAAGATCATGTACAATCATGTACCTTGTAATAGGTACATGTACGTGTAGTGTCACTTCAAGGTCATGCACAGTCAGTACTCAGTGTCAGTAGGTATACACGTAGGACTCCTACCAACCAGCAAGTATTGGCACCCCAGTTCTCCCTGCATGCAGTCGACATGGTCAAGGACTACATTATTACATAGCAGGTCCTTGCGGATGACTAATGACGTAGATCTACACAACTATTGCTTGCATGTCACTGAGTCTGTGTGTTGTGAGCAAGCCCAACGCACACGATAATGCATTGGTACAGCCAAGCTCCATTGCAGTGGGCTGAGTTGGGTAAGGCAATGACTATGTATGATGTGCAGCTTGGAATTTAACAAACACACTTACTTTGACGGTAACAGATGTCCCCCTGCTGACAGGTCTCAAAGGAGACTCCTGGAAAGAGTCACCAGGAGCACTTCATGTCGTGGACAGTACCACAGGGAGATTACACTTCCCCTTGCAGCCCAACTGTGCACGTACTACATGTAGTAGACCTACCTGCTTCTGTAGTGCGGAGTTGTACAATGCCAATGGACCTTATGGCACCATTCCCTTCCACTACAACTAAGTACAAGTCCTAGTATTACATCGTGTTCACCAAGACTGGCCACACCAAAAATGTACTCTTTAGAAACGACTGTTACGTCTGGAACATGGATCAGTCACTGAGTCAGTGAGAGAGAGAGGGAGAGAGCCAGTTGACAGAGCTGGAGCGCGAGATCGACAGGCATGACCAGGCATTTCAAGCTTGCATAGGACAAAGGAAATCAGGCCTTGACCAAATTTGAAACAACACGTGCCAAATGCACTACAAAAACATAAAAAAGGCTACGTAACACGTGCTTGATCGTAGCAGGCATGACATCATCCCTGTCACAAAAATACCGTATAAGCGAAGGCCAACCGCCAGGCGCCATGCGGCAGCGATTGAAATCTCTGCCTCGTCTTCTTCTTCTTCCGATACCCACTCTTGGGTGCTAACAAAAAGGCTAGGCATTTTAGAAAGGCAATGTAGTTGAATAATCTTCTTGAACAGGGCACAGCCGAAGAACTTTCTTGAGAAATCCGAATCCGAAATTATACTTTTTCTTACAGCTAGAGTAGATTTTCCTCTATTTTAGTATTTATTGAATTTATTTATTCCGAACGCTGCAAAACCATGATGAGTGCTATTGAAACAGACCAGCAACAGTTGGGTACTATAGAAGACACAGAGGCGCTGGTGCCCTTGACTCTGGATGTGGACGATGAACCACCTGGGCCTGGGCCGCCGGATGGATCCACAAAGTCCGAGTGGCAAGATACTCATCCCAAGGCTTCCAGAAGGCCTTCGTGGCTGCGAGCGTCTCATTCACAGATGGGAATCGTCAAGGAGATAGCTAAGCTAGCCGTCCCTGTGGTACGCAGCATGGCTGTTTTCTTCTACTACTCGAATAAGCCAGCAGCATGCTTCTGTTGACCATGAATTATTTTAGTGGTAAATATTTTTTTCAGCTAAATGCACATGCACATTATAAAATTGCCTAAGACCCAAATCCTCTGCATGCGCCACCAAAAACCACAACAGGGATCGATGGCCTGGGAGATCTTCGCACTAGTGATGCAGCCAGTAACAGGTGTTCAACAAGTCCGAACTAAAAATTGGTTGTAACATGTGAGACCCAACAGAACCGCTTACAGAAATTCAAAAACAGAGAGAAACTATTTTGTAGCTGTAGATTTTGAGCATGCGATTGCAATTTGCAAAGGTAAAGTCCTTTCAATATGTGTAATGCATCGTGAATTAATCCAAAATTTCAACCTAATTCAATAAGATGGAGTACAGTAGAGTCGCGCGCTGAAGAACCTGGAGCCCAAGAACGTCCAGCCTGAAATACTAAGAACGCCACAGCCTAAAGTTAAGAACGGCGGTGTTGGTTTTGTGGCAGCTTGTCGGATACGTATGATCCAGTACGGATTGTTTCTAAGAACGTGCTATGAGAACGCAGCCAGATACTTGAATAATAAGAACGTTGCAGGCTAACCCCTTGGGAACAACGTTCTTGGGCGCGCGACTCTGCCGTATGTACCCGTGTATCACATAATTATTTGTGTTCACGTTCTGTGCTCTTGCGACACTTGTCGGTTGGCAGGGACTTAGCCTACTGGTGTCGAACATGCTGAACTTCCAGACGGTCTTGTTCTGCGGCCATGCACCGTCGGCCAATAACAGTGCCAACGAGACCAGGGAACTGCTGGATGCGGCTGGTGAGTGGGCGTTTAGTAGAGTTTGATGCGTTGCCATGGTTTCCTGAATGTGCTCGTATATATCACGAGCAAGCCCGAAAACGTTCACGTATTCCGAGCTCTAAAAAGATCGGTGGAGTTACTTTCACCTTGTGTTAGCGAGATACAGAAGCTTTTGCAGTGGCGCACGTGTTTTCTTCCTTGCTGATCTTGCGTGTGTATGTGTGTGTGTGTGTGTGTGTGTGTGTGTGTGTGTGTGTGTGTGTGTATGTGTGTGTGTGTGTGTTTTGGTTTGTTTCTGTCCTGCATTCTGCATTATGATTCATCATGGCATCCAGCGCTTTCAACATCTGTAAGTGTTGTCAGCGGTACCTGTGAGTAGTCAGTGATGTATCAGATGATTCTGGTTGTTTCTTTTAAATGTTATGAGATGCATTTACATGTGTGCACGTGCCTTACAGACGTATTTTCTGACTATGTCCGGCTGTTGAAGACTTGCTGATTGTGCATGTGTATGTGTGTGTATGCGTGTTTGTGCCTGTGTGTGTGTGTGTGTGTGTGTGTGTGTGTGTGTGTGTGCGTGCGTGCCCATTTTGTGTGTTGCAGTTTGCCAATGTCACTGGCATGGCTGTGTTGATTGGTGCGGCCACGGCATGCGACACCCTGTTTGCACAGGTGAGTTTCCCCTCCCATGTACACTGGACTTACACTGATCCTCACATCAGCTCAGGTACGGTAACTTTCGTTGAGCCGGTCTTGCACAAATCCCATGCATATCAATACCATGGGGCTGCTGGAATTTGTTTCCCTTGTATGCAGTTTGTCTTATCCACACTTCATGATGAATGAGTCTGTATTGGAAGTTGGAACTATGTACTACTTCGAAGTAGCTAAGGAGTAACTCTCTCAGCTGGTGAATAAAGGAGGTGCAAGTAATCTTTCCTGTGAGAATCCTTTCAACACTGCACTGCTGTGATGCACTTCGCCTTCATTGCGAGTGCAATCGTGGAGCTAGTTTTCATCGTTGCTTTATGTTGACTGTGTGTGTGTGTGTCTGTGTGTGTGCGTGCATGCGCGCGCGCGTGTGTGTGTGTATGTGCGTGCCTTGTTCTTCAGGCCTATGGCGGACGGAACAAGAAAGCTCTCGGTATCATTGTCCAGCAAAGTGAGTTTGGCGGATGTGTGTGCTGCTTTCGCCTGCTGCCCGCTGCACATTGCTGATTCAATGTTGTAGCAGTGCTGCGGCTACTAGCCTCACCTTGGCTGTTTGCTGTTCCTTTCAATGTCCATACCGCTTGCTATAGCATGGCTGTCAGGCAGAGAAAGTTTCCCTGGGTGGGGATTTGGCAGTCTCTCTCTGCTCCTTGCAGCGTTGTGTAGCATTTTTAGATTAAAGGTGATGCTCAGGAAGGAGCCTGATGAGACAGCACGCAACGTTCTTGTGAAGTGCTACTGTAAGACATGTTATTATAACGAGTCGCAAATTTAACGACTGTCCAAAATTCATAGGTTAACGAGAAGATATGTTAACGATCTTGCAATATTCTGCCATATCCACACACAGCATTTATGAAGCAGTACCGCCTCAACGGATCTTATTATAACGAAGAAATGTCATCCGTTAAAACGTTAGATTTGCTTCCTCGTTATATATACATGTCTTACAGTATTCGCCGAGAGAGCGTGGCGTGTATAGTAGTGGTGAGTGTGGATGGCACTACTTGCTCTTTGACGTTTTCTTCTCGGGGTTCGGAAAACTGGTGCAATCAACGCTGCAGTGACCATGCTGTGTGTTGGTGTGCTTGCAATGCACTGTTGGTGGTAACTTATAACTGTAACAGTAATTCTTTCTATCTCTTTCTGTGTGTGTGTGTGTGTGTGTGTGTGTGTGTGTGTGTGTGTGTGTGTGTGTGTGTGTGTGTGTGTCTCTCTCTCTCTCTCTCTCTCTCTCTCTCTCTCTCTCTCTCTCTCTCTCTCTCTCTCTCTCTCTCTCTCTCTCTCTCTCTCTCTCTCTCTCTTCTGCTTCTGCAGGTATGCTAATACTGTCACTCGTGTGTGTCGGCATAGCTGGTCTATGGCTGAACTCAGAAGCAATATTGTTGGCTATTGGGCAGGATCCTGGTGTTGCTAGGTATGGGATCACATGTACTTGCTGCACATTCCACTGCCATGTCTTTCCATCTAGTGCCTGACCATATAGTACACTGTAGCTGGAACTCTTGTTTCCAAACTTTCCCTGGACTTTGCTTTGCCTTCTGTTATTGTGTAATGTAGAACGGCAGCCCAATATAGCGGTGTTACATGTATTTTTTGATTTTTGTGCCTCTGTCTGGCTCTCTCTGTCTCTGTCTGTCTCTGTCTGTCTCTGTCTATCTGTCTGTCTCTCTCTCTGTGTCTCTGTCTCTTTCTTTCTTTCTCTCTTTCTCTCTTTCTTTCTTTCTTTCTTTCTTTCTTTCTCACCCACCCCACACGCACACACACACACACACACACACACACACACACACACACACACACACACACACACACACACGCACACACACGTACACACACGTACACACACACACACATACACACACACATCCTAACCCCCTCTCTCTGCTTCTACAACTGTCTCTTTTCTACAGACTGTCAGGTGAATACATGGACATCATGATCGTTGGCTTACCTGTGAGTTCAACTGTACAGGAATTACACGCACCGCTTTTTACAACTGATAAAATCAATCTCGTCCTACATAATTCTTCTCCTATTTTAGTATATTATGCTGAAATACTGACAACGTTTCACCGGCTCGCATGGACGGGAGAATTTAGCTCCCAATGTGCATGCGTGCTTAGAACAGACTTGGCACGATCGGTCAAGAACTAGTCTGCTTTCGCTGACAGAGGAATGTTGTGTGCAAGAATTTAGGCTGCTGGTGGAGTTTACTGTTTGTGACCAAAACTGTCAGGTGTGCGTGTGTGTGTGTGTGTGCGTGTGTGTGTGCGTGCGTGTGTGTTGTGTTGTGCAGGGCACTCTGGGAATGATCTTGGCAGCGCGATATCTACAGAGTCAGGTGGGTTAGTGTTGTTTGCGTCTTGCGCTTGCATGGAATGCGGTGATCCATGCAACTTGTCTGGTACATGTATACTGACAGTGTTTTAGGCAAGGAAGGGTGTTCGTTAAGTTTGTCTTGTGCCGGGAGCCTTTGCTATCTGATTCGCAGCACATCATTCTCCGGCGGGTTTTAGTCTTCTACCTTATTTTGAACACGAGGTGCCTATCACCTTCTGCCTCCTGCGATCAGAATTAACTATGTGCTGCCTTTCACCCTACATTTTCCTTCTAAATGTAGATACATTTACTGTAAAACCGGGAATTTTCGGTGGTGTAGTATTTTCGGTATTTCCCAACATCAACGGTTCAGTAGCACGACAATTTCGGTAAACCAGTTTTCCAGATCCGAAAAATGCATTTTGCCCGATGTGTGGCATGGCATTCTTGAATTTTTAATATGTCGCGTTTTATTTTCGCCTTTTTCGGTAAAAATTACCTGTACCGAAGTTACCGGGAATAAATCCCCCCTGAAATTTTCCGATTTTACCGTATACCGTATGGCAAGGTTTCGGGTGGACCGAGCGCACTTCAGTCAGTCGTACTGAATGCAGTCAAATCGAACATCATGCTTGACATGTGCAAGGTGTCAAGCAAACTCTGCACCCACAGGGGGCACTGCGTCACAAGTAACAAGCGTCACAAAACGTATGTTATGTGTTCTGTGACCGCTGGGACGTGTGATAACGGTTTCTTACACTGGCTTGGGATTATGAGTGGTGGTGATGATGGGGGGGGTCTTCTGTGTGTGTGTGCGTGCGTGTGTTGTAGTTCAAAGGAGGTAGGAGAGCTTTGCTTTCCGAGCATCGGGTTTGCTAGCAAGGAGAGACGTGTCCGAGGGGGGGGGGGCAGATTGACGACTTCTGTGGGTAGGAATGCGACCTGATGAAGCTGTGATGTGCCACTTGTGGCAGGTGGCATCCGTCTGCAGTACATTTGCTTAGCAGAGTTTCTGTTGACATGCTTTGTGCAACCATCAAAGATACCTGTTGTCGGCGGTGGTGTAGGATGGACCGACGTGAGCGGAACTCAGAGAAGACGGTCAACTCGTCATTCTTACATGAAAATAAATACCATTTTTCAACATAGAGTTCTGATGTTGACCAGGACATATTCCGGCAAAGTTCAGAGGACTTCTACTCATCAAGATGCCGCGGTGCATGCTCTTTTAGCACGTGATGTACTTTTCCGTTCATCGGCCGGCGTAGGCCTCTTTCTTTCGGGTCTACGCTGCTGCACTTGCACATTGGAGCAAGAATTGTCGACATCTCTGATGAGATGACATCAAGAAGGACGACACCTGCGCATTGTGCGCGCCTGCTGTCGCTCCCAGGTTCCGCTCATCTGTGCTTGACTTTGCCTTTTCCAACATAGTTGCGGGCGGCGGAATGCCAGTGGTGTTTTTCTCCAAGCATGCTCCCATCTCCGAGGCTGCGGAAGTGGATGCATCATTGTCCCTGCCAAAGGAACCCCCGATATCCACCGTGGTGAAAGCATAGCTGGCGTCACACTTTGCCATTAGGACAAGACTGTGGAAGCCTTTATAGTTGTACTAGTTGATATCACCGAGTTTGGGGCGTTCCATGGCAACATGTTTCCTTGTGTTGCTGTCGACGAGAGAGGGAGAGAGAGAGATGCTGATGTCATGGCCAACCGTCTATCCATCACGCGGCAATTGTCGACATTTTTGATCTGATGGCATCATGATGGCGCCAGAACCTCGTGCAGAAGGTGTGTGGAATATCCCAACATTAGACAGACAATCAGGACAAGGACATCACAAGACAAACCAACGGGCGGTGTGGACATAGACAGGACCACGACGAGGGAACACATGATGAGGACGACGATTGGGTGGCGGGCCAGTCCAGTTGCGGTAAGGCGCGTGGCGTGGCATGGTTGGCAAGGCAAGTCGGTGGGGTGGCAGAACGTCGGCGTCGAAGTAGCGGTGTCGAGTAGGGCGTATCGGTCGTGGTCGTGGTTGCGGGCGTGGTCGTAGTTGTCGGCGGTTGTGTGGAATGTGTCGTCGCGGTGGTTGAAAGTTTCGAAGTGTCAAACGTTGGCGGATTGCCGTTACAAGTTCCTCCGCCGAGGGAGGCCGTGGATATACATACATACATAGAGCTCTGATGTTGACCAGGACATATTCCGGCAAAGTTCAGAGGACTTCTACTCATCAAGATGCCGCTGTGGATGCTCTTTTAGCACGTGATGTACTTTTCCGTTCATCGGCCGGCGCAGGCCTCTTTCTTTCGGGTCTACGCTGCACTTGCACATTGGAGCAAGAATTGTCGACATCTCTGATGAGATGACATCAAGAAGGACGACACCTGCGCATTGTACGCGCCTGCTGTCGCTTCCGGCTTCCGCTCATCTGCGCTTGACGTTGCCTTTTCCAACATGGTTGCGGGCGGTGGAATGCCAGTGGTGTTATCCTCCAAGCATGCTCCCTTCTCCGAGGCTGCGAAAACGGATGCATCATTGTCCCTGCCATAGGAACCCCCGATATCCACCTTGGTGAAAGCATAGCTGGCATCACACATTGCCATTAGGACAAGACTGTGGAAGCCTTTATAGTTGTACTAGTTGATATCACCGAGTTTGGGGCGTTCCATGGCAACATGTTTCCTTGTTGTGTTGCTGTGGACGAGAGAGGGAGAGACGCTGATGGCATGGCCAACCGTCTATCCATCACGCGGCAATTGTCGACATTTTTGATCTGATGACATCATGATGGCGCCAGAACCTGGTGCAGAAGGTGTGTGGAATATCCCAACTTCGAGGATGCTTTCTAGTTTCACGATCACCAGGAAACAATTGTCGACATCTCTGAATAGATGACATCATAGAAATGGTATCGGCAACAGTTCATGGAGTTTCTAATGTTGAGACTTTGAGACTGCCATAGTTCCATACACACAACGAACCACGGACGAGTTAGGTCAGGGAAGACATTTATTAGGGGAGACGACGACGAGGGGAGACGGAGAGACGAAAGACTATAATTATGGTGATGGCAAGCGATGGAGAGGGAAAGAGGGTGACGAGAGGACGACTGGGACGATCTGACATGATGGATGAGGATGAAAGGTCGTGGATTGAAGACAGGGTCAAGTCGGGCATCAATGTTGAATCATCATGTGCTATCATTCCAAACACACAGGGAACAGGGAAACGGATAGGTGACGGCATTTATTATGGTGACGGAGAGAAAGACGATCGACTACATTATGAAAAGGAGAGAGAGTTTGAGAGAACGAGTGCAAGAGAAAGGCATGGTAGCTATGGCAAATGGACGCGCAAGCAGCTACCCAGGCCAACGGAACGAAAGGCGTCGTACGGCAAGCTACGGTGCTCAGGTCAGCTCGGGAAAGGAGGTACGAGGAAGTATGTATGGTAGATATTAAAGGGCCAAATACTGAGTTCATAGCTGCACAGTTACCTGTTGACATCTCTGACGAGATGGAATCGTTCTCTCTGTGAGTAACATGCAGTCTCATCGTGCCGGTTTTGTAGCGTTTTTCGAGCTTCCTTGCTACTGTTATGATCCTTGACGGCACCATGCTACAATTGTCGACATCTCTGATCCGATGACATCATGCCACAGGCCTTCAGGAGAGCCTTGCTGTGTATTTTACTAGTGTACAGGAACGGGAGCCTTGCTGTGTGCTTTACTAGTGTGGAGCAGCTGCTGTCGTACAGGCAACCTCAATAGCCCAACTCACTGTGTGTAGGCGTGCTCCTCAGGAGCCTTGATCACGTTCACCGACTTTGCCACCTACGTTCCAGCTTTCTCTCTGAATGGGGATGTTACGTAGGGGTGTTTGCCAGGGTTATTAGAGACCTTTTGCATTCCGAATTTCGGAATATTTTTCAGAACCTGACTTTGACAGTCAAAAATGTAGGCGAACTTTCGGAAGTTTGGTGGCGAAAGTTCTATTCTGGTTGAAAGGGTTCAAGTTGTTCAGAGCTTGAAAGGGAGCTTGTTGTCTCTCCATACAAAGCCGTTTTATTAGTAAATTATTACCAAGGCGTGGAGAAGCTTAATTAAAGTCGCCTTCTTATGTACATGTATAGGCCCTGTAGTTGTTTCATTGTTCCTTCATTTTCAGCTCTTTGTATGCTTTACAAGCCTTGCACATTCATTTCCTCTGTGTGTACGTACATGCGTGCGCATGTGTGTGTGTGTGTGTGTGCGTGTGTGTGTGCGTGCGCATGCGCGTGGTCCCTTGTCGGTGCTATGCGTGCACAGTCGATAACATTGCCAGCCATTGTAGTGGGCATTATAAGCAATGTTGTTCTCGGTGTGGTCGACTACATTTTGGTGTTCCGCTTAGGCATGGGTCTGCGGTGAGTGTGGAGATGATGATAATGCTGATGAATGTTTAATTTTTTTTCACACAATTCAGTGGTTTCCCGACTATATTGACATATTGATTGATGAATATCCATTCAGTTTTCTCTTGATTGCCCGTAGAGGAGGTCCTTCTCCATGATGATGTTGATGGACTTTGTGATGGGCTTGTCTGCCAGGTGTCCTTTTCTTGTTGATTGTTGTTGTGTTCCCCTCCCTCTATTTGATAATTCCTCTCCCTCTATTTCTCTCTCTCTATTTCTCTCTCTCTATTCTCTCTCTCTCTCTCTCTCTCTCTCTCTCTCTCTCTCTCTCTCTCTCTCTCTCTCTCTCTCTCTCTCTCTCTCTCTCTCTCTCTCAATGTTGGCAAGTGAGTGGGTGTATATGATGGTTACGAAAATTTTAATGGCTGACATATCCTGCGTGTTCTTTGTAGAGGTGCAGCTATCGGTTTTGTCCTTGGCATGTCGACGCAGCCAATTGCCACCATTGTCTACATCCGCTGGAGAAAACTTCACCATCTAACATGGCCAGGCAAGTCACACTAGGTCTCCCTGAAGTGTTTGCTGATTTTGATGTGTCTACTACCACTGTAGCATTTCCCATGTAGCTGTTTCCTATTTCCTCTGTTACCTCTCATGACAGTCTTCCATGGTCTCTCGCTCTCGCTCTCGCTCTCTCTCTCTCCCTCTCCCTCTCCCCCCCTCTCTCTCTCTCTCTCTCTCTCTCTCTCTCTCTCTCTCTCGCTCTCTCTCTCGCTCTCTCTCTCCCCATCTGCGCATAAAATCTAGACTGACAACCTGCTAGTTAAATCATGCACCTGCTTTCAGGCGTAAAAACCCTGTTGTAGAGGTCTCAGTCCTCATTTGTTAGACTTACCTGTCTTTATAAATGTAACTTACTCTCTCTCTCTCTCTCTCTCTCTCTCTCTCTCTCTCTCTCTCTCTCTCTCTCTCTCTCTCTCTCTCTCTCTCTCTCTCTCTCTCTCTCTCTCTCTCTCATCCTGGCATGTAGTAGTTAACCAAGTTCCCATTGTCTTCTTTGCTGCAGGCTGGTCGTTCAAATGCTTAGACAACTGGATGGTCTTCACTCGCTTGGCACTGGCTGGTGGCATTATGGTCTGCTTAGAGTGGTGGGCCTTTGAGATATTGCTTTTCGTGGCAGGTATGTCTTACAGCAGCAGAATCAACGAGTGCGTTAAAAGTATTGCCGCTTGTTTAGTCTACGTGGCTGTGTTTCATTTTGTAGTGACTATCCTCGTGCTGCGCTGAGTGCTCAGTATCCAGGGAGATTGAGGGAATAATATCTATACTGTTTGCCTGGTTATGTTGAGTTTAGTAAGGGTGATTCTAGTAGGGGTGGAACGAATAAGGGATACACTCGTACCTTGTTCATCCGGGCGGTTCGGGACTGGACGCTGCCCGTAACTTTGACATGTCCGCAACTTCACAAACATAATTGGAAGAGCATTTGACGGAGGAAAACAATTGTGAAATAAACTCAAATTTTGACCGATATGTGGCCAAAAGCTTAGGTATCATCTTTTTATGAATGGACTGTAGCTGCCGACATGGATATTGTCCTGTCACTCAGCTGCTCGCATTGTGGCGTATGCTGTTGCAGGTACTATGGGTGTTGTCCCTCTGGCGGTGACAGGTATTGTCTTCCGCTTAACCACCTTCCTGTTTATGGTTAGTTGATGGTTCCGCGACGCTACAACTGTGATCTTTGCTATGGTGTGTCTGTGTCGACATGGTGCTTGATCTGGGCGTGTTTGCGTGTTCTCTCTCTCTCTCTCTCTCTCCCTCTCTCTCTCTCCCTCTCTCTCTTCTCCTCACTCTTTTGTTGTTTGATTGCTGCATTGCCTGGCTGCCACTGACACTTTTCCGTCACTTGCCATTCTAAGGTCACTTGGGTCAGGTGCCCCTGGCAGTTACTGCCGTCATGTATCAAGCTGTCTACATAACCGGCATGGTCAGTCTGAGTGTGTGTGTGAGATAGCTGTTCTTTTCTCCTACTTTCTGCATCCGCCTCTCTCTCTCTCTCTCTCTCTCTCTCTCTCTCTCTCTCTCTCTCTCTCTCTCTCTCTCTCTCTCTCTCTCTCTCTCTCTCCCTGTGCTGCCACTTCACTTCGCTGCTTCCATTTCACTAAAAAAAACTAATTTGTTGATGTGATCACTCTTGAAACCTTGAAATCTTAATCTTAAACACATTTATCCCACTGGGAAATTCATCCTTATGGTCAACCACTGCAAAGCACTGGTTAAGCCATCACCCGCATGACTTTGTAGTCAATAACACTGTGAGGCCTGTGCCATGCCCTCTGCCACTTCATCCATTGCTTAACACAGACTGCAACGGTGGTCAAGTACGCTAACACTAATTCTTCTAATCTCTATGGGGACATGTGTTGAATGATGTGCACTGAGCAATTATGTATTGCAACAAGGGGCCTGTATAACGACGATAATAATAGTGATATCCTCATGTATGCCTGTTGGCTTGCACACACGCAGACCTGCTGTCTTTACTGACTTCTCTCCATGCCCACCATGCAGGACGGTGGCCCTGTCTGGCATTCACTTTGAAATTTGATGAGCCAATTAGGTGCGTTTGTACTTGTACTAGTACATAATTTGTGTGTGTGTGTGTGTGTGTGTGTGTGTGTGTTCGTGCGCGTTCGTGTGTCACAGGTTGCCATTGGCTTGATGATTGCTGTCAACATTTTGGTCGGTAATGCACTCGGGGCTGGCGACTGGAAGAAGGCAAAGTCATGTTTCCGTGTTGCACTGGTCATGAATGGTACGAATTGAGTTGCTTTATCTCAGTTCCTTCGCCTCTCTGGCTATCTGTGATAGATGGTATGCATGATTGTTTGCTTCTGTTTGCATAGTAACGCTTTAGAAGGTAGGTCACGACCTCTTTGGAGTTGAAAGACATTTACAGAAGAAATGCTGTTTTATCTGTTCTAGGTTCTCTAGTACCGGTATGCATAGACCCGTCACCGGAAATGATATTCGTATGGGGGATACTTAAAGGGGAAGTATACCCTAAAATCAAATTTTCACCAGTTGTAGTCTTCGGGGTGCTGAGTCGAATGGTCTTGGTCCGAGGAAGCTGAGACGCTCCCTTCCTACTTGAATCCCAATCGAACTCGCGCACTTCCACCGAAACTGGGTGACTGCGCCCTGCTGGATGGGGATTTGTATGCAAAATGTCACTAAAAGCGCCATTTCGTTCTTATAAAATCACGGATGACCGTGATTGGCCCATATGTTGTAGTCTTTTGGACGCTGAGTCGAGTGGTTTTGGTCCGAAAACGCTGCGATGCAGCGTTCCTCCTTTATTCCCAATCGAACATGGTTGAACAAGTGGTCACGTGCTCCTGCGTACACCAGTCACCTGGTCACCGTGCCTGCAGGGTACAACTTACTAGCCTGTTTGACCTTTTTTGGGTGCAGTCCTGTCACTCGAGTTGAACTCGAGTTGAACCTTGGTGTGAAAGTTGTCGCCTGCTGGCGCGGTGACCAGGTGATTTGGGCACCCAGGAGCACTTGACCGCTTGTTCAACCATGTTCGATTGGGAATAAAGGAGGAACGCTGCATCGCAGCCTTTTCGGACCAAAACCAGTCGACTCAGCGTCCAAAAGACTACAACATAGGGGCCAATCGCGGTCATCCGTGCTTTTATAAGAACGAAATGGCGCTTTTAGTGACATTTTGCATACAAATCCCCATCTAGTAGGGCGCAGTCACCCAGTTTCGGTGGAAGTGCGCGAGTTCGATTGGGATTCAAGTAGGAAGGGAGCGTCGCAGCTTCCTCGGACCAAGACCATTCGACTCAGCACCCAGAAGACAACAACTGGTGAAAATTTGATTTTAGGGTATACTTCCCCTTTAACCCTGTGCTTTTCTTACTTTCAAGTGGTCACACGTACCATGGCCTGCTTTTTCCTATTAATAATACTTCGAAGTACTGTGATGCTTGTTTTGTATGCTGGCTGAGTTAACTCTGCTTTTCCTGCTTGCTTGTTGGCTACTCTCCATACAGGGACCAGTGGTATCATCATGTGTGGGCTCTTCCTCAGCTTGCGCAACGAGCTTGGCAAGATCTTCACTGACGATCCGTACGTTTGCGTGTGTTTGCCTTGGTGTATCTTCACCACTCAGCTTGCATGCATGTGCAGTACTGCTGTTTATTCACTTCCAAAATGCAACACTTGCATGCCGGAAGGAAACGAAAGAAATTCATCGGTCACACCTGTAGCCTCTGTGATGTTCGAACGAAACTCGTGTGCCATTGCGGCTGATGAGTTTTGTCGAAAATGCTCTTTGTGCTCTTCGCATATTGACGATGACCTAAGCGTATAATGATCGGCACAAGCAGCATTCAGGGACTGTGGACTTTGGTTACAGGAGTGCTGCTTGTCTTGTCATTTGCACAGTGATTTGCTGTGGAGTTTTGCCAGGCAGAGAAACTTGGCCAGAAATGCACATGGTTTGCTACGATAGTGATGACACGTGTAACTGTACAATAGTGATAGCACCATGTTCCCATGCGAGAGCTATTCTGTTCATTCGTTGGCTGATACAGTTTGCACTCGTGTGAATAGAAATTGAAAGGCGGAAGCCATGATGCAGTACAAGCTGGCCTAAAATGCTTGCATGCGGGTGACTTTGTGTTTGTTTGTTTGTTTTTGTGCACACATGTGTAACATTCTGGATGTTGCACTACAGAGAGGTTATACATGGTGTAGCTGAGGTGGTTCCATACCTGGCATCGCTAGAGCTCGCTGACTACATCCAGGTGTGTACAACAGTGAAAAGCCATGTGTAGTCAGCATTCATTGTACTACAGTGTAGCTTGTCTACGTTGACCGCTCAGGGAACCTTACAAAACCTGGTTTCCGTGTACAAGGCATTGGTGCTGCTTCTTATCCAGGGTCATTTGACTGGAAATGGCATCCCCCGGTCCTGGTTGTAGTGGTCCTCTAGGGTAGACGGTCAGCTAAGCAGAGTGATTGCCTTGACAGGTTTTACTGTACAGTGAGTGTATAGAATATACCCGTGCCCGTGATCCACCTGTTGATCACAATGATCTGTACTAGGAGTCATTTATTTTATCTTAAATAATGTCTTGTTTCCTCACTCCGTGCATGCATGCATGCTTAGCATAGCAGTTCAGGTTTCAAAGCTTGATTGTTACTCAGAAATAGTGATTAGTACTGATTACATACTGGCCTGCCTTGCAGAATCCATCGCCTGCAGCCAGCTGATGTGTGTGACTGCATGTTGTGGTGTGGTTTGTTGTTCCCTGTAGTGTGCCTGTGCCGGTGTGATTCGAGGTGCTGGCCGCCAGTCGGTTGGCGCTGTCAGTAACATCTTTGCCTACTACGCCATTGCTCTCCCCGTTGGCGTGCCGCTGGCTCTCAGAACCACGATGGGCGTGCGAGGTGAGCTGCCCTCTGTTGTATTATGCATGCTGGTACCGTAGTTTAGAAGCTTGTATTAAATACAAGCCTGAATATACACGGGTGGTATATAAGCTTGGTTTTAGTGTTAACATACACAGAAATATGTGGTTTGTATAGAGCCAAGCACTGACATCGGCTTCTACAGGAAAAAAAGCCCGTGATATATTATGTCTTGTTCGTACACTTACCAGGTACCCATGGGCAGGTTACGATGAACGCGTTTGGCTGTGAGAACTCTTTGTCTCCTGCTTTACACAAGCCGGCATGCCTCATCAGATTTCTTTCCATTCTTTCCTTTCCTGCTGTCAAGGCTCCGCTGTTTAGCTGACAGTGCGAAACCTGGGTTTTTGGCCCAGTAGTTTGTCAAACAATGTGGAGACTACAGTGCTGGCAACTGAAATCCGACCCCCTGGGCGGTGCGTTCACTTTCTAGCGGCCTCTATTTCGTAGTGTTACGATGTGAGCAGCACTGCTCAGGGGGTCGGATTTCAGTTGCCAGCACTGTAGTAAAGTACTTGGCAAAGCTAAGGGGTATCTTGTTTGTTGTTACAGGGCTTTGGCTGGGCATGGGCATCGGTCTTGTTTTTCAGGTGAGTCGTAGTTACCTGTGTGTGTGTGTTTGTGTGTGTGTGTGTGTGTGCGTGTGTATGTGCGTGCGTGTGCGTGCGTGCAGGCAGGCATACATGCATGGGTGTGGGTGTGTGCGTGGTGTTGTGCTTGTGTCATGTGTTCTGTATGGCGTGGCTTTGAAAAGTCATTCTTCATTGCCATTGAGTTTTGACCTAATGTGCCTTCTCCGTGCTTTTGAGTGCACAGATGCCTACACCATACCAGAGCTATCCCCAGATTGGGTAACGTGCTGTCCCCCGTGAATTCCGCGGCAGAATATCAGAAATTCCGTGCAGAATTCTGCGGCTGAAAACAGTAAATTCTGCGCTAATTATGCAAATCCTTCTATATTCTGCGGCAATTCTGCAAGGAAAATGAGCGCAAAAACAGATAGACTTTCCGCAACCCCACCGAAGTTTGTTGTCCCCATAAATTCTGAACCAAAATATGCGAAATCCTGGTGAAAAAAATTGAAAACTCCAAAATATACTGCAAGTTGATTTTGAAAGTCACAGGCAGGTTGATTTGGCTGTAACTAAAAACACATCAAAATTCTCCAGAAAAAGCAGTTTTTCTCTCTTTTCTGCAATATTTTGCGGGATTTTCTGAATTCTGCGGACACTACTGGATTCCGCGGAAATCCTGCAATCCGCGGAATTCACGAGGGACAGAATGTGCGGACTGGCCCTATTCAGTCACCTTTTTAGCGCAAAAACTTTGGGTAAACCTCAGGTATTCTGGTTTAGCCTGCCTGATCTGCAGGTTTGCCTTTAATGTCGTCATTTTGGTAGCTTCAAGTACTAGTAGAATTATTTGGAGGTCTGCTAGCAGAAACTGTTGGTGGCCACCCAGTTATGATGTCTGCACGCTCAATCACTCTTCATGTATGGATAATAGATATGTATGTGTGTTTGCTTGTTTTCATGCGCGTGTTCCGCATCGACAGGCTACCATGTACCTGATCATCATATCGCGTATCGACTGGGAGAAAGAATCAATTGCTGTAAGCTACTGGTGTTTTCCTTTGCAATTCTCTGCTGCACCATTCCATTGCCAGTTATCTATCCTCTGTTGTCTGGTGTTGAAATCATGGCCATAACGTTAGTCATAAAGTCGTTCATTTAGCTCTGCTTTCGTCATACAGCAGCACCAGCTAGTGTCTGAGGCGACAGTGGGGGGGGGGGATGGCTTGGCAATACCATGGCAGTCAACACCAGGTCAAAAGCGCTTGTTGCTGCTGGTGGTGGTGGTGGTGGCGGCGGTGGTGGTGGCGGCGGTGGTGGTGGTGGTGTTGTCATCGTTGTTGTCATCGTTGTTGCAACTGCAGTAGCAGGACTGTACTCTTTGGCCAGTGTTGTTTCAACTGGTGACGTTGTATGCCGTATCACTGGCCTTTCCCCATCAGAATTTATGTGATTTGGAGTTTTTTTCGGGGGGGGGGGGGGGTTTGAACTTGCGACCGGCAGTACCCGCCCTGTCCTGGACTTCACGGATAAAGGTGGTGCGGGTGTACTTGTATCACTTTTGAATGTATCTCCCTTGTGTGTGTTTGTCCAGGCCCAGCAGAGAGTGAAGGACGCAGCTGGAGACAAAGTAGACGACGACGACTCTAACGAAGGTGAGATTGTGCTGCATGGTTTGAAAATATACTCGGCATCCGATTTGTGATGCACTGTAATAAGCAGGGAGTAGTAAAATACAGGGAGGTGACACGCCACTAATCGTGATTTTTGATGGGTGCCTCGCGCTTGTTTTTTTTTCTTTCGCAAAAAAGATGATCTGCTGAATCAATCTTGAGTATTTGTCGAAGAACTAATTCCATGAAAAGGTCTATCCATCTCATGGAACAGCATTTGTTTTGCTCTTGTGATACATCTGTGCCATCGCCATATGGGAAGTCGAAAAATCTCTAGGACACCACACGATCGGCACTAATTTCTCCTCAGTTGTGATCAACCAGTACTTCTCTACCTTCTTTGTGATGATGAGCATTTCATATTATGGTATGCTAGAGATTCGGGAGTTCACTTTTCGGAATGAAATGTTCCTAAGTTTGTCAAGGATTGAAATGCGGGCTACGTCGTCGTAAACAGCTTGTATCGACACAGGAAAAATCTACGGCACGCAGGGATATCTCCCAAAGTGATACCACTCTTGCTGGACTTCTATCCTGACATAGTGGTAGTTTGGTCGACTACCAAACTTTGTGAAGGCAGACGGTTGTTGGAAATTCTCAGCGCTGAGTTTCTACGGGCTGCAGTAGGAGTCTCTTTGGCGGTAGGTATTTTACTACTCCCTGATCGAGAGAATCCTGATCCGCGCGCGTGTCTACACACTTCGGTATCCATAGTACCCCAATCTCACCCGCCGGGTGAAAACGGTGCTGAGGCAATCGTCAAACTGGCCGTACATGCTCGTGTCACCTCCCTGTATTTTACTACTCCCTGGTAATAAGAGTTGAAACTCTAACGGGCACAAAGTAACGTTTTATGAGGAGCACGAGTACTCTTGATTTTCCTGCACATTCACCGTTTGCTCGCATTCTCGATGGATATTGTAGTCAACTCTCATCTACTCCCATGATGCATTGTGCTCGCCCCCGTGGCGCAATGGATTAGCGCATTGGACTTCTAATCGGGCTAGCTGCTTGACGGCATTCAAAGGTTGTGGGTTCGAATCCCACCGGGGGTGCTTGCCTTTTCTTTTTTCTTTTTTTTTCTGCTGGGTGTGGAGCAGGGAATATGTTGGCACGAATCACAACAAACCGCACTCATTTATTTTCTGTTGTATAATAGTTTGTTCATCCTTTCCTTTGTGTACCTCCTGTGTATCCTCTGCTGATTGCAGGCATTGGGCACTCTAGCAGGTTGAGGTGCGCTGCCTCTGTGCGTGTGATAGAGTTGTTCAGTGTTGGTGTTTATTTCCGTCTCTGTGTGTAGTTGCAACGGATAGCTCCAGTCCAGTGGAGCTTGTTGCTGTCATGGCAACTGGCGAGAACGGCGATGTGCAGTGCCGCATCGCAAAGAAGAGCGACGCCACCAATGGAGATGTCATGGGTGAACATGGTCGGGAGATGAGCGAGTCGCCGTCGGACGATGCGCCGTCGGACATGGACTCCTTGCTGCCCGGGCAGGAGGGTGTCGCGCGGCAGGACAGCTACACGGATGTCCTGTTCAGCGCCCAGCTCACGCCGGAAAGGAAGCGGCGGCTGATCATCCGCCGCCTGCTTGTGTCCATGGTACCGGTCGCTGTTCTCTTTGTATGCGCCATGATCAGACTGACACATCATATACATCGACCGGATGTGGAGGATGGCGGCGAAATCGACCACGCATTCGACCTCAATATTACTGCCAACGCCACCACTGTACTTCCATCAACAGCTGCTGCACACTCTGTAGTGAGTTCAATGTCTTAGGTAATCGTCAGGTGTAAGTTATGCCGTTGTCCCGTCATTTACTATCACGTGTTGGTAGCCTAGCCCCCGAGCAGCATCTGTCAAGGATTTACGCTTACGAATCAATCCACATTCCTGTTTTCACAGGCACAATGACACAAAACTTTTTTTAGTATTATTTACGTTGGCCTACCATCCCGATTATTTAAAAAAATCCAGACCCATCTTATTATTTTATTTGAAAAGCCCTTATTACAGCTCATGGTCCGTACCGAAAGGATTCTCTACATATAGAGAGACTTATTATTTCTAAAAAATGGGTTGTGAGCAACACTGGCTCACAACCCATTTTTTACTTATGAAGCTGCGTGATGCGTCCTACAAGATTTTATTATTTCTATTTTACTTTTAGTATCAGCCAAGCATTCTGGAAGTGCTAGCCTTCAAGCTGAACTAACTTAACCTTGCCTTGCGGTGCGATGCAAAATCACAAAGTGTGCATGCGCACGACCCTTCTTTCTATCAACGAAATCAAGAGTATACTCTTGACGAGAAACTATGCGGCGACGCTGTAGTATTTGGTGTGGGCCGTGTGTGTGTGTGTGTGTGTGTGTGTGCATGTGTGTGTGCGTGTGTGTGTGTGCGTGCGTGCGTGCGCGTGCGAGCGTGTGGAAAGTATTCGCTCGCTCTTCTGGCTACTGAACCCCCTGGATATAGATAGGGCTGGTGCATTTGACTGTGCAGTCTGGTGCTTATTGTACTCGGACCCGGCCGGGCAGTGCCCAGGTGGCACGCTAACGGGAATGAAGTAATAGTTCAATCACATGCCAGCACGTGTACTGTGCACCGAGACCACCAAGCATGGCCAAATCGATACCGTGAAATGAAGGCTGGGCCGCTGTGGATGGGTCACGGGTTAGAGTGCCGAAAGGATGTGTAGTTGTACTTTCCTCAGGGAGTCGTACAAGTAGGGTAGACTCCCTGGTTTAGCACCTTATCATAATCGTTATACAAGAGTAAAAATAATAAGCTCGGAGGTCATGTTCATGTACAAAGTCAATGTTCTCTTGAAATGCGCGACCACTGAGTCTGTAACCACTGACCAGTGTGCTGCATGCTATCAAGACTAGAGTCCATAAACTGTTTACATGGTTTATGCACTCTTGATGCTATGCGCTGGGGGATTGCTGGCCCAGCAATCCCCCAGCATAGCATCAAGAGTGCATAAAAAACACCCAGCATTCAATGCTGGGTGTTTTTTATCACGTGACTAAATCACGAGGCTATAATGACGTAATGCTTCTGCCCGGGACCGGGAACTTTGAGATTTTTGAAGATTTGAAACCTGTACCCTGTGTCATGTAGCTGTGTCGTAGATTTTACTGATGCAGGAAAGATAATAATTGGCAGCTCAATTCCCTGTCTTGCTCAAGTCAACAGTCCGAGGGAAAGTAGTAGGAGCGCGGACTGGACTGAAGCAACCTCGCAGTGTTGATATTGGGTATTTACACGCATCGCATTTTGGTCTCGTCTTGAAATTTGGACCCCTCATTTCCTCTCGTAAACATGGCGAGCCTGTCGAATGCAGCTGCGCCGCCCGGTCGTGGCGAGGTAACGCGTTGTGAGCGTCAGTGTACCTGGGTGACGTGCTCTGAAGAAGACGCAGCAGCTTCAGATGAGGTACACTGTGCCACTGTTCAGCTAGGATTTAGTATGAGGCCCGTTCACAGTTTGTGTTTTGAGAAACGTGAATGTGTTATAAGTAGACCTGGCATACCAAGGGGTAGTGTGAGCTCCGAACAAATACAAATCCACTGTTGTCACGATACACCCCACCAGAGCTGAAATGTACAATGTTTTTTTCTTGCATTGTGCATGCCGTCTACAGTCATACCCCCACACACACCCACATACTCCCCATGAGTAAGCAGTGACGTTGACTGACTGGCTTATGGCATGCCTGGCAACAGGTATTATATCTGTTGCCGAAACAGTGCCATACTGCTGTGGACTGATAGTATAACCAGGCATGAAGAGAGCAGATAGCCGGGAGTCACATTTTAAATTCATGCCGGGCCTTGTGCTGCAACCACACTAGGTACAAAATCACATACAAACGGCATTACAGTAGAAATCGTCATGGCGACCCGCCCGAAATACAAAATGCGCTTTGTAGGTTTTCAGCAACCGGTGCACCCCTGTAGAAAGCCACGTTTGTCGTTTTCGCGCTCCATCTCCTGTGTGCAACTTTTTTTGTACCTGGTCGTCGTACGTCAGCATCAGCATCAGCATTGTTTTTGAATTTCCCGGTCTTTTCCAGCGCATGGCACACGCTTTGGTACGGCAACGTCACATGCTGGTTGCGTGAAAACATCATCTATGCAGACCGAAAAGTGTAGTGTGGTTGTGTACCGACTTGTACTGAGATATGCATGACAATTTGTACTGTGATTTTTACGTAGTGTGGTTGCGGCCTTACGCCCCTGGTAAATCACATGTATGCACATCAGACCTGTGTTGTTGTACAAGGGCCGTGCTGAAGAGCTGGTGCTACTGTAAATCAAATAGTTCTTTCGCTTGTTTGACTTCGTATATTTCGTATGCCAGGCTGCACATGAAATTAAAACGCATGCCTTCTAAGCCCATCTGTATGTGCGGAATGTATATAGGGTATAGTGGCATTGGTTGGAACTGGAAACTGAAAAAAACGAGTAGGGTGGTGAGCTACATGTTTCAGAATAGGAGGCGCTGCACCCCCCCCCCCCCCCCCGCCCCCTGGCTGGAGCCTTGCGTTGTTCCTGTGACGTATTACTATTATTAGTGCAATGCATGTACCGTATTTGCCGGCGTATAAAGTGTACACCCTTTTTTGACCAACGTTTTGGCTATTCAAGGTATATCTGGAGTATAATGCGCAGCCGAAATGTGAGAAAATTATGGCATTATAATATAAAGACAGTGTTATGATGTGACCATTGACAAAGTTATCATAAAATTATCAAGAATGGACTCGGATGGAGAGCCAAGGATTAATTTATAGAAAAGAAAAAGGACCAAGGAACTACAGGTTAGTTAGTTGTAGAACGTCAGTACCGTCGGTCAGTGCCGTGCGATGTTATCGTATGAGCTGATTGTTTAGTAACTGGTGGTGTTAGTGGACATTATAGCGTAATTTGTAGTTCCTTGGTCCTTTTTCTTTTCTATAAATAGAATTATCAACTTGTACATTAATTTTGTATAATGCATGTGCTACCTATGGGGACTCGTACCCATCTTGCACTAGCAGTGTGGCTGGCACAAGACACCACTAATGCATGACTATGGCTTGTGCAGGGTCAGAAACTCAGAGGTGGCAAATTTCGCATCACTTTGATACATTGCACTTCTTTTTGAAGTGCACGCATTCTCATATGTTCCGAGCTGCTATTCTATGGAACTGTTTACCCCCCAGTCTAACATCGGAATGCTCGCTCTATAAGTTCAAGCTGTCCTCAGGAAATTTACAGCTAACCACGCTTATTCAATCAACGGAATTCCGCCACCTTGCAGTTGATTTTCCCCGTTTCTCTCCTCATCAATCCCTGTACATACCAGTAGTAGTACTGTTCTTTCAATCAAATGAACCCCTCGATAGGCATATTGCCTTTGGGTTATTTCATAATAATAATAATAATATTCGGAGTACATGTATAGCGCGCACCTGCGATTTGGGGCCTGAAATAGCGCACCTAAAGTGTACACTATTCCTGCAAATACGATAGTCGGTTGCAGCAATTAACTCACGTTGCCGATGACTGTATTTGCTTATGTGTATGCTAGTACGGCCCACTAGACATCCAGGTGGAAGTAGGGGAATCCCCCCTGTTTGAGCATTCGTCCGACGCCCTGTTCCTGCCGACTGAGGATGTGAACATCGCCAAGAAATCCTTCAATGCGTGGTAAGGTTGGATGTTTCGGATAATGGCCGAAAAAAGGATTCATTTTATGTGCGGTCGGTATCTAAATCCGAATTTGGGTTCCAGTTTTGAAATGGTTCTAGTCAGATTTTGAATGTGAAATTTTGCCTGCTTGTGCCTCTCGACCTTTTTGATTTAAAACATTTTTTCAAATTTGGCGTTTATCGGGTTTTGCATCTCAGCTCTTCATATAGCGTGCGTGTTATCAAGAGTCCATACACAAGAGTGCGCAACGCGCGATAGGGTCTGGTCACGACTCGTTTCCAACGTTACGTCATTTTCATGTACATTTTCATGTAGCGAATGTCGCGGCCGGCCTGCATGCGCAGCTACATGAAAATGACGTAATGTTGAACACGAGTCGTGACAGACATCTATGTGGCGTTGCACACTCTTGTTTATGGACTCTTGGTGTTATGAGATATAAAGTACGAGATAGTGTAACGACTTTGGCGATGATTTCACAGGGAAGTTGGTTGCTCTCCACACCAGAGCTCGTGCTTTTCCGTCAGGAGTCAGTCAAGCCAAGGCGGCGGAAAAGCGCGAGCTTCAGTGTGGAGAGCAACCAACTTTCTTATGAGATCTATTAAAAGTACAATATTTGAGGAGAGAAATGGTGGTAGGACATACACCTGGTGAAATGGCGATAAACACACACCTGCCCAAACAACACTCTCTAAGCTGCGAAGTCTATATCAAGCTCCATCTGAAGAGGTCCAAGGTTGCCTGATGAATCCTGGGGGACGAAATGAATGTCGCAATCTGAGCCTACAATATTATACAGGCGCGTGCTCGGCGATGGGCACGGGGGGCACGTGCACCCCCCCCCCCAAAAAATTTTCAATCTGATCCAAGGCAATTGTAATGTATGCAAATATGCTCTAAAATTCAAGAAAGGTTGCAAACAAATTGCAGAAAATTGCCGGGGGGCTCCCCTCGGCTCCCGTGCACCCCCCTAGTTGGGGGGCCGAGCACGCCCCTGTATTATAGTTGTCGCCTTGCCACAGTCTTTGACTATGTGTCATGCGCTAACTGATGTACCAGCCAGGTATGTATGTCAATATCACCAGCCATGTATCAATAGGGCGCCGGCGCGCCATGCACAGCTGATGATGGCGGTGAGGGAATTTGCGCTCTTTGCCAGAACTTAGCAGCTTAGAGAGCGGTGTATGGGCAGGCGTGTATTTACTGCCATTTTGCCAGGTGTGATTTAACCACCATTTCTCTACCATTATGATGCTGCATCGGAGTCTTCACATCATTCTACTATTAATTTTTTGAGGACCCTGTCTACTAGCAGACCATTCAGGACCGCTGGAAGCTATCGTAGTTTTGTGACCTTTTATACTTTGTGTATGCTATGGCACCGCGGGTGTGGATGCCCTTCACAGTAGAAAACACGTGTCGGTGGCTATAAAGTTGGTCCGGTACCTGACCAACCAGATCGGTTCTGGCAGGCCTGCCCTTGGATATAGAGTACTGGTTTTACGGAGCCTGGAGGCGTGTTAGACTGTAGTTTCACTGTACTTTGAAGTACCTGATTGCTACGCATACTGCTATCCTCTCAGTCTGCTATCTCTCCTTCTCTCTCTCTCTCTCTCTCTCTCTCTCTCTCTCTCTCTCTCTCTCTCTCTCTCTCTCTCTCTCTCTCTCTCTCCCCCCCCCCCCCTTCTCACCATTTTTTGAGTGGTAGTGGCTACTTTTGACATTGGGCAAGTGTGTGTTCGTGCCCCCGAAAAAGAGGTGTGTGTGTGTGTTTGTGTGTGTGTTTGTGTGTGTGTGTGTGTTTGTGTGTGTGTCTGTGTGTGTGTGTGTGTGTGTATGTATGTACTTTGTTGTGTTGTAGGTATAATTCTGGTGTACTGGCTGCGCTGGATACGCTAGCGGAGCACAAAGTTGACGGTGAGGAAAACCGGGTACAATGCTTGGCAATGTTGTTTTTAATCACTTGAATTTCATCTATAATGGAGCGCAAGTACTTCGAAGTAGTCATTAGGATTTCATCCGTATTGCAGTGCATTGTGTGTAGTAATGGTCACATGATGTTTCGTGTAGCATGCATTTTTAAATTGTACGTTTCTTCGTCACCTCGTGCACAGGTCAGGTATCATGGCCGTCGAAGATGTCAGTACTGCTGCTGGGTGCAGCGCGTTCGTTCTCCGCCCTGCATAGCTCCTTCTATCCACATCTACTGGTGAGTACCGATAGTACTGCTGGAGTACTAGTAGCGGGAACTGTTCAGTCTGGTTGCATGCTATTACCAGTACAGCGGAGCCCCGATATACAAGGCATGTGTGATGACATCATCACAGTCGGTGTGATGATGTCATCGCATAAGTTGTACAGACCGGATGCACAGGATGTGTTCTAAGTTCTAACCTGTGGGTGTAGGACGGGATGGCCGTTGAACTGTTTCATTTAGATTTGAAAAGCACCAGAGGTGGCCTGAAAGTGCCCATTTCGTCATCAAAATGTGTGCGGGTGGCATCACAATGGCACTGCTGAGCACACGGTCTGTCTTGTGGACACACATCTGTTCTGTTTGTCTGGTCAGATGCACAGGTGCATTCTTTCTAACCTTGATTGTTCTGCTGAGAACTTACGACTGACCAAAATTAACAAGAACAAACTTTCCTGACCAGAAGTGCCTGTCACCCTGAAAATTGTCTACTTTTTCTGCCATAAAGTCTGTGTTGACAATGCGCTCCATTTGGAACAGTGCTGTAAGCTATTCAGGGAGTCAGTGGTACAACTCTCCAATCAAACTTCCATTCATTCGAGCAATTGCCGCTTGCTGGCAACACGCTTGCTTAGATGTGCTCGACCGACGTGGAATTGATGTGTGTGTGTGTGTGTGTGTGTGTGTGTGTGTGTGTGTGTGTGTGTGTATGTGCATGTGCACGTATGGTACACTGCTGATTGTACTTGTAATACAGATGTCCGGTGAGGAGCTACTAGCCCAGTTCTCCGGTGCCAGTCACTGGTAAGTCTGCATGTGCACAGCCAATGTAACCACTGCCGCACTGCCGCACTGCCGCACTGCCGATGTTGCTGATAATGGTGGTGGTGTTGGTGGTGGAGGTCTTATTGGCGGAGGTCTCAAAGAACTTTATTGAAAATTCCATGGTTGTCCGGAAAAGTGAATGGAACAATCCAAAGTTAGTGCATACCATGCAACCTACATGTACAGGCAAATATTATATTCATCACAGTCACTACTAGAAAAGCAGATCATTGTTATGCCAGAGTACAGCTTAATGTGGTGGTGGTGGTAGTGGTGGTGGTGGTGGTGGTGGTGGTGGTGTTGGTGTTGCTGGTGTTGTTGCTGATGATGGTGGTAGTGGTGGTGTTTGTTCCCCTGCCCCTCGTCCAAACAACATGCTAGCTGTTTTCTACATTCTGTGTGTGTGTGTGTGTGTGTGTGTGTGTTTCTACGTTTGTAGGGCAACATGTCCGGTGCGTGCAATGGAGTGGCATCCACACGCATCCCGACTAGCAGTTGCAAGAAAGGTACAGTGACTGACAGTTTCCTTCCGCTCTGCGCTCTGCTTACCGTATTTCACCCAGTATAACTTAAGTTGCACTCAATTATAAGTTGCATCCTCACTTTCAGGTCTGAGCCATATTGTTTCAGTATATCCACACCAGCAGGATGTTACATTCGATTTTAAGTCGCACCCCCTTCTTTGCTCTTGAAGTTTAGTGCAAAAGATGCGACTTATATTCGGGGAAATACAGTATATTCTGTTGATCGGGGGGGGGGGGGGGGGGGGGGGAGGGGGAGAAGGGGGGGGGGAGGGGAGAAGGAGGGGGGGGGCACACACAGGCTGACCAACATTGTAACACTGGAACCACCATATGTGCGTGCGTTTATGTGTGTGTGCGTTTGCGCTTGTGTGTGTGTGTGTGTGTGTGTGTGTGTGTGTGTGTGTATGTCTGGGCGTGTGTGTGTGTGTGCGTGTCTTTTACAGGACAACCTTGTTCAAGTGTATCAGATGCAGACTACTGCAACATCCAGGTTAGACTGAAGTATATTTCCTATTTTTGCAGTTCCTTGGTCCTTTTTATTTTCTATAAATTAATCCTTGGCTCTCCACCCGAGTCTATATTTCCAAAGCGTTTGATTCATGGTCAAACCATATTGCATGTATCAGGTGTCTGGGAAAGGTGTCCTCTGACTTTGGGTGAAGAGTATTTTACAGCTCTGAGTATAATGTGTAGGCCCTGCTTGTCAGATCACAGCTCTGTGTAGAGACTAGGGCTCAAACGGTCACGGTTTTACCCCTGACGGTTAACTGCTAAGCTAACGGTCGGTTAACCGGTTATAACATATAAGCCACGGCAATCCTGCGGACTCTTTTTTGACCGTATATTTGACTATACTTATTCAAAAATGTACCCTATTCAGTACAACGCACACTTGTACATTCTCTTGCATGCTCATTCATACATACTCTCACACCAAGAGACCAGATATGACCGAGTTGACAGCCCAGAAATTGCGTACGCGTGCGACAGCCCGCGAAAGTGCACACTTTGCAACGACCTGATACTTGAAAAATTGACTGAAAAGTTACTGCGTAACCGTTATCTTTATCGGTTAACCGTTAATTCTTCGTAACGGGTCTGCAACCGGTTAATCGGACTAACTGTTTGAGCCCTAGTAGAGACCACTTGAAAACATAGCCATAGATGTGTTTTAGAATGTACAGCGCTCCTCTATGAAATCCAGTCGCGTCACTCAAGTTTGCGCCTTGCACCATTTCGCAGCCCAGTGTTCGCAGGTAGGGCTAGTCCTGCGCAACGCCCGGCACATACTTGAGTGACGCGACTGGATTTCTTTGAGCAGCACTGTACATTCCGAGATGGTGTTTGAGATCAGGTGTTGATCCTTTACTCATTCATTACCCAGTGGAAATCAGCCATCATTCACAAGTCAATTAGCTACCAGAATGTCTCAGTACACCTTGTCAGTTTTGTGCCATGTTGTCGCACTAGCTGACTGTATATGATCTGGTTACATTGGTGGACAGTTAGTCATATCTCGTAACATTTTTGTTCTTCCTTTTTTCCATGATTACATTACCTCAACAGCCAAGTTCAAGCTACTAGTTGTTAATCTTTTAAGCCATGCAGTCGCTGGACCAAGCATCTCCCCATTTTGGAGTGGGAATCTGTCCTCGTTTGGCTTTGTATGCGTGCATGTCTCTATTTGTTTGTTTGTGTGTGTGTGTGTGTTTTGTGTGTGTGTGTGTGTGTGTGTATGTGTATGTGTGTGTGTATGTGTGTGTGTGTGCGTGTGTGTGTATGTGTATGTGTGTGTGTGTGCGTGTGTGTGTGTGTGTGTGTATGTGTGTATGTGTGTATGTGTGCATGCGTGTGCGCATGCATGTATATGTATGTTTGTCTGCTATATGCAGTTGTCCACATTTCAGCACTGGGAGGATGCAGCAGCTGAAGCACCCGGAGCAGAAGAGAATCTCGTCGCTAGCGTGGAAGTGAGGCTCTTCTTCTCCATACTTTGCACAATCTCATTTTACACTACTTTGGCCACACCACCAGCAGGCCACCACTTGAAATTCTTTATGAATCAGATGTACATGTACATGTACCAGTTCAAACCGATACGTCTTGCGAATGATCATTCGTTTAACACCCTGAGCCACACTTTGAGTAATTGAGTTCGTGAGAACCAAATAAAAGTTTGGTCCATGGCTGTTTTAAATCCTGGATTCCCAGTATACACCTCTCACCCAGTTTACAAAACAGACGCAACCTTCACGACGCTGGTCCTCTTCGGCTTGTTGGTTTTAGAGGTCGCGCAGCCGATTCTATGGTGGTTCTGTACAACAACGTACATGGTATTACCCAATACTAGTTCAAAAACTAGTATTAGATAAACCTTGTTATAGTTCACGCATATTGTTAGATTGACAGCATGAAGCAAGGTGGAGGACACTGTGTTCGGAAACAGTAAACCTTACTACAACCTTCCACGGTTCCGAACACAGTGTCCTCCACCTTGTTTCATGCTGTCAATCTAACAATAAACAACGCACATATAGACCTTATTCGATAAACGTCACAATCACGTGAACCGGGGTCCCGGGAACCAGGGAGTGGCAAGAGATCTGCGCTCAGTGCACAGTGGACTCTGTGTGCGAACATAGGAGTAGATAAATACCGGTATTTTACTACTCTTTTGTACGAACTGGGCCTTTCTTGCCACTCGTTTCTCGTACGCGTGCCCTAGCTTATGACAAATCCCTGGAGGCGAGTCCAAAAATCACGTTATCGAATAAGGTCTATACCTGTTGTTGGTTGACAGCATGTAACAAGGTGGAGGACATGCTGCCAACCAACAACACATTTGAACAGGCAAGGTTTATCTAATACCATGACAACGTACCTGTATCAATGACAGTTTTCCATGCGACTCGTATTGTACACTGTCAGCATATGGTGGGGTTGCGCACAATGTTCGTCCAAACCTGGAGAGTTTGTCCTGCGATCCTCAGTTGTGTTGTTTTCTTCTTCAGCGCAAACTAGCTTGTATCCGCTGGTAGAACATTGTTTCTTGCCTGTGAGTTTTGCAATATAGAGATAAATAAAGCTGAATGCGCAGTCATAAGAAGATTTTTGTCTCTTTGTGGACTTTTTGTGAGTTTTTTCCATTCATTTTTCCCTCTTTTTCCGTGTTCTATACATGAGATGGTGTTCTTTGTGCTGTGTTCTCTGCTCCCTGTGCAGACCGTATTCTGGCAGTGTACTGGCGGTGGGTTGTCAGACTGGCGTTGTCGTGTGGCAGGTTCGATCTCATCCTGGCGCCCCTCGGTACGTGATGAGTCACTGCTGAGACTCCAACTTGCTGGGAGTAAATATGTCTCCCCTCGGTGCATGGCACCTCCAGGAAGAAAACTCTGAACACACACACGCACACACACATGCGCGCGCACGCACACACACACACACACACACACTACTGATTCAGGCTCAGGTTTTGATCACCTGTCTGCATTTATGCTCTGCACGTGCTGTCTCTCTATCACTCCAGACCTCATCCCCAGCACCTGTGCTCAAATGGACATTCACCAGTGACGTCCGTGGCCTGGAGTAGTGACGGTCGTCTTCTCGCTTCAGCCAGTCCGGCAGATACGTCATTAATGGTGAGTTCTCTCTATATGCTACCCCCGGAAGTACAGTAAAGCTACCGTAGTGTCTCATAATTAAAAAAAGCCTGTCTCATATAGAAGCCTGTTTTGAATACAAGCCTGATTTTCAAGATACACTGTCGACACATAAGCCTGGTTTTAGTGTCGACATACATAGAAATACCTGGTGTGAATAGAAGCCTAGCCCTGACATCAGCTTCTACAGGAATAAGCCCGGCTTTAATACGCGACATCTTAACGCTGTGTTCTGTGCTAGCTCTCCTGTTACTAATAGCAGCATTTCAGTAGGCTTCTACGGGTAACTAAATCAGTCGGAGCTCCCTCTTCTGAAATTTCAATCTTCCATCCCCCATGTCAACAATGATAACTCCTGGAGAGTTGGTTTATTCGCATTATTTTCGTCGCGAGGATCATGTGTCTGCTGAAATACCATAGCCACTGCGATTGTCAAGTATTTGTGGAGGCCCTTGCTACCCTGCTGGTGTCTTGTACAAATGTTGTTACGCCATCATTCACTGCTTGCAGATATGGGATGTGACGTCTCCGGATTGTACGGGTACACCGATCACGCGTCATGGCGGCGGTGGTGTGTCATTACTAGCCTGGTCATCGGCTATATCGGATACGGGCATGTCCCGACTACTGACGGCCACTCCGTCACCGCTGTTCAGAGTCTGGGAGACGCGCTGCTTCACGTGCGAACGCTGGTCTAACCTCGCTGGTCGTGTGACGGTGAGCTTCCCTCTGTGTGTGTGTGTGGGGGGAGGGGGGGGGGGGGGGGGTGAGGTTGTGTGTGTAGGTATCGGGGGGGGGGGGGGGGGGGGGAGTGTCGGTGTTTATGTGTGTGTTTGGGGGGGGGGGGTGTCCGTGTACGGTTAGTATGACTATTGTGTATGTGTTGGGGGGAGGGGGGGGGTCACGTGTGTGCATGTGTGCTCAGATTTTTTGTGCCTTTGCCTGTTGCACCAGACTGCGTCGAGTCTTCATTCTTGTTCCTGTTGTTTCATGTTACTGTGACTTGCAGGCCGCATGCTGGAGTCCCGATGGCAATGTACTGGTGTTTGCCATGGCTGATGATCCAGCACTCTACTACCTCACATTCTTTGTTAGTAAAACAGGTGAGAGAGAGAGACAGAGACAGAGAGAGACACAGAGAGAGAGACAGAGAGAGAGAGACAGAGAGAGAGACAGAGAGAAAGACAGAGAGAGAGAGACAGAGAGAGACAGAGAGAGAGAGACAGAGAGAGACAGACAGAGAGAGACAGAGACAGAGACAGAGAGAGTGAGAGAGAGAGAGAGAGAGAGAGAGAGAGAGCGCAATCGGTCTTCCGCTATCAGACCGTCGGGTGGCGGGGATGCTGCTGTCTACCCATTATCACTCATGTGTTAGGTCGGTTTTTTGTTTTTGTTTTGAGGTTAAATCCGTAATGAAGTTTACTTTTCGGCCGGGTTTGTTTGATTTTAGTTCAGGTTTGTGAGTTTTTCTTTTTCTTTAGCATTGATTAATGTACAGACACCCTGGTTCAAAGCCCGTGCCTGACTGAATTATCAGGTTTGAACCTAAATCAGACTGGGCTGAATTGGGTTTGAAAAGGCTAGAGGTCAAGTAATATTTATAGGACACTTTCTCCATTACCTTTAGCTCAAAAGTGAGTTTTCCTTCTTGTTTGACACAGAGTCGGCAGATGAGTCAACGAGACGTGTTGGTGGAGCAGACACTGCTATCAAGTGTGTCGATCTGACACCTGTCGAGATGGCTGCTGCCAATGACATGGACGAGCCCGTAACGTAAGTATGGTGGAGTACGATGTTTGTGCTGTAGTTCCTAGAATGTCTGCGCATGACCGTTTAGTACAGTACAACATCTACTAGGTTTTCCCCATAATATCATTTGAAGTACGATCAATGTAATAGTGGATCCCTGATACTCACACACTAGTCTTTTCAGGCACGTGCTCCAAGAACACATCCTGACTGATTGACGGCATGCTTGTGAAGCAGCTAATTCGGCAAGTCTTGTAGGGGAAACATGGATGCAGCGAATGGGATTTTCGGTCTTTGACAACCACGTTGTGGCGAGTCTGACCTTTAGGAGCTGTATCCCCGCCTTGATCCTCGAGAGAGTGCTGGTGTTCATATGGGATGCGGAAGGCTTATCACTGGGTCTTACGCAAATCGTAAACAGATTGTTATGAATACAATGCTCTGCTGCTGCGGGTCAGCCATACCTAGTACATGTATAAACTTGGCAGGTTGGAGATCACTTGGAATGCACCCCAGTCTATTCCCCTGTGAGACTGTGCTCCGAGGTTGTAGGTTGGACATGTACCTTGCGTTGAAAGACCCCACCTGTGTTTTGTGAAGACCAATTTCAGCACCGCCATTGCACGGGTTGTGTTGCTTAGCTCACGTTTTGCTCTTTGTCTTTGAATTGCTCTTGCGTCATGCTGCTGCTGCTGCTGCCGTTGTTTCCAGTGTTGGCGGTTGTGTCCAGTCTCTGGCGTGGGATGCATCGGGAGAGCGACTTGCAGCCACCTTCACAGGTACTGTCTTTCCTCTCGTTGTGTTGTTCTGATTCCTAGTGCATAGTTGTTGTGCTGTGAATGATCATAGGCAGTGTCTGCTTCAGGTCTGCTTCTTGATGTATCCCACACCTGTGATAGGCTGACAACTGTCCTATGATGCACCAGTACATAATAGTGAGTGCAGCTCTTGCCAACACATCTCGAATGTTGTTACCGGTACCGTAGTGTCGTGTATTAAAGCTGGGCTTAGTCCTGTAGAAGTCATTGTCTGTGCTAGGCTTCTATTCAAACCCGATATTTCTATGCATGTCAACACTAAAACCAGGCTTATGTGCCGACAGTGCATCTTGAAAATCAGGCTTGTAGTCAAAACAGGTTTCTATACGAGACAGGCTTTTAATATACAATACCCTGTGGTGTCTGTTGTTCTTGTGTGTAGAGCTCTTGGGGATGCATCTTGAATTTTGTTTTTGTTCTTGTGAGTGCAGCTGATTCTCCAGGACGAGACCTTGTGGCAATATTCACCACCACAAGCCAGCCAGTCATGGAGGTGCTACCTTGGTAAGGCATGCTGTGGGCACATTCATACACTTACAGTGGATTTATTCACAAGTTTCCCTCTATAGGAAACTGTTTGCTCTCCACACTGGAGCTCGTGCTCGCGCTCGTGAGTCAGTCAAGTGTCAAGTCGGCGGAAAAGCGCGAGCTCCAGTGTGGGAAGCACTTTTTCCTACGAAATTATCACCGAAGTCGCTATCACTTTCTAGCTTTGCCTTTCCCATTTCGAAGTACCGGTATTCATTTCAAATCCTCAAACTTATGGATGGCGTTTTTTTGTCTGCACTTCATTGCAAATAATAGATTAGCCAATACAGGTACGGTTTGTTGTGGGTGCTCCTGGCAATGAAAACACCTTCCACGTCTAGCATGTTTCTGCTTGGCATAGTATACTTCCATTGTGTTTCCTGTGCACCTTTGAGTTAACTGCCGTTGCCTGAGAGGGTACCCTACTCACAAGATGCAGACCGACAGGCGATGATCCACTTCTTGCGCTTTGACGTATTCAAGGTGATCAGTTTTCCGAGTGACCCAGGCCAGATGGCGTGTAGTGAATCCGTGACTATGCTGGATGTAGTGCAGCAACCAGAGGCACTATCTTGCCATGCCAGGCTATCCGGTTTCGTGTGTAGCTGCACAAGTACCTGAGTTGTGTATCAAGTAACTTTCCCCAAGACCTGCACACATTCTCTACTGCCATCATCCAGTTATTCCTCCCTGACTTGCACACATTCTTTAGTCTTTACTGCCATCTTCACTGACTTGCATGCACACTGTACCACCACCATCCAGTTATTCCTCCCGGACTTGCGCATATTCTTTAGTCTTTACTGCCATCTTCACTGACTTGCATACACACTGTACCACCACCATCCAGTTTGTCTTCACTGTATGCTTTGTGTTGTGTTTGCACGCTCACTTGTGCTTACCAACAGTGGCTTTGTCCGGGGTCGAACCGGTGAGACACCCGAGGTGGTTACCTTCCAGAATGATGTCGAAAGTGGGGCGCTCCTGTCGGTGGTAAGTTCTGACGTTCTTCTTGTCCTTCTGCCCGCTGCTGCAATGGTTGTGTTGGCCTGCTGTGACTGTGAAGTGTGTGTGCGTGTGTGCATGTGTGTGTGCGTGTGTGCATGTGTGTGTGCGTGTGTGTGTGGGGGCATATGTGTGTGTGTGGTGGTGGTGGTGGTGTGTGTGTGTGTGTGTGTGTGTGTGTGTGTGTGTGTGTGTGTGTGTGTGTGTGTGTGTGTGTCTGCATGCGGGCGGGCGCTCGTGTGAGGTTGTTGGCATGTCTATTGGTGCTGGGGTTCCCAGTGCTCAGTTGCCGAGGCCGGTTGGTAAAGTAACTCCCATTTCACTTCAAGGTGCCATTGCATCTAGTGTCTGCTTCTAGCAAAGCAGCGTGCTGTCTATACTGGTTACCCCAGCAAGCGTAGGGTGTGCATAGGTGACTGTCTTGGCTGTCCTATTCCGATGTGCTCCAAGTGGTGTAGACCAGGTGTGCGTTGGGGGTTAATTCTCATGGCTGTGTCAGTTATGTGGATTAGGGGTTAATTCACATGGCTGTGTCAGTAATGTGGATTGGGGGGTTAATGCACATGGCTGTGTCAGTAATGTGGATCGGGCAGTTATCTCGGTGCTTGATCTGTTTCATTCAGATCTTGTCTGATATCGGTGCTATAAGAGAAACATCTGCGGGTGTACAACAATTGTACATGCAATGCTTTTGCAAAGTTGAAAGCTTCTCTCGCGTTCGGCGTACATGGGGCATGTGTGTGTGCATGCGCGTGCGTTGGTATGTTGCTGTGCAGGCATGGTCTTCAGGGCGCATTGCGTTTGTTCCCCTGTTGTACAACACACCGCACAGTCTGGATTCAGCCAGCACTGTTGACACTCTTGAGAAAGCTCAGCACTCGGTCAGCAGCATCGGCACAGCGTTCAATTCCCCAGTGGCACCTCCGCTCACTGCACGGCAAGAAGCTCTCCATAAGCACGGGTTTGGTGCGGCATGGCCTGAACAATCTCCCGTGCCACGTACACCATGGTAGGACGATGTGCAGCGCCATGCCATGCCATGTGTGTGTATGTACGGTGCGTGTGTGTGCGAATGAAAGTAAGTGTAAGCGTGTGTGTGTGTGTGTGTGTGTGTATGCAAGTGTGTGTGTGTGTGCGTGTGAGTGTGTGTAAGCGTGTACGTACGTGCCACTGCTGACAGCTGTCCCGTGTTAGATGTCCTATTTTTCTTTTTTTACTCTGGTGGCGATTCCGCCATCCTCCTCCTACACCAGTGGCAATTCTTGGCTTGTTCCCATATTTTGAGCCCACCCCGTATATATGTCCTCTTTATAGTTGCTAACGTCACTGCTAACCTCTAGAGATACCATACAACTCTACTGCTAGTGTCTGCATTGCCCTCAGTACTGCACTGCTAGTGTCTGCATTGCCCTGAACACTGCCCTGCTAGTGTCTGCATTGCCCTGATCACTGCACTGTTGGTTCACCTGAGAAGTCATTTCTGGTAAGAATCATGATTTCCAGTGAAGCGAGTTGGGACATGTGCATGTTCAGTATCAACTCGATAGTGACATCATCATCTTAACAGGCATTACTGAATACTGAGACAGTTCGCCGTCCACGGGGAGTATGCTGTTAGCCTGCTGGTACAGTGGCGCAGCGTGAAGAGTAAGTCTTAGGCTAGCTGTGCTTTGCCGTGGACAGGCTGGGCGAGCGAGTGAGTGTAGTGATAAAGAATGCAGGTGTAGTTCCACCAAGCTGCTCTCCATGGGTTATGTACATCTTGCACAGCAGTTCACCAGTTCACCAGCTGCTTCATGGCTCATGAACTTGTGTTCGGATGCAGCATTCAAGGCAATTGAGAGAGATTAATGCCCCCCAGGCCAGCTAGGCAGATGCATGGACCTCAACTATTATTTTATACAAGCTGCATGCGAGCTGGGTATGCATTATTATTATTATTAGTAAGAGTATGGGTGAAATCTGAATGAAGCGCATCATGGCTGAGCTAAATACGACTCTCGTACTCCATTTCATATTGTGTCACTCTGTACTGTAAGAACGAACACCATTCTGTTCTCTATTAGGCAAAGATCGGTACAATGAAGCATGTTCACCTTAACCAACTAGTCGACTCCGGTTTAACATTAAATACTTGTCTAAGTGCTACTTCCAAGTACCAAAGAGACTGTGTAGTGTGAACAAATACTTCAATAGAAATCAAGACTACGGGGTACTCATTTTGTGTGTTAGCCAAGTTTGAGCGTAACGGAAGCAACTTGAACTATCGCTACGAGGAGCATGTGAGCGTGCTGCTGTTACGCTCCGCTCTAGCTTCAGCTTCAGGGTGAGCTAGTCTGACGGAGCCGTGCGATTGCGGCGAGCTTATCCTGAACGCTTGGATGGATGTATCCGTTGGCCGCTGCCAGGATATGGTGCCGATACAGCTGGATGACACGATTGTGCTCCTCGTCTTGATTCTGCCACCCAGTCGACAACACGGATAGCAGAAATCACAGAAATCAGCACGTGCAGACGCACACATAGCATACACCACCACACACATAGCATACACCACCACACACATAGCATACGCCAACACACAAACACAGTCTGAGTTACATGCACATCCACGCACACACCGACGTCAATCTAAGCAAATGTCTTGAACACTCAACACAGTTTGAAAGCTAATAAAACTGCACAAGGCATTCCACAGCTCAGTGCAGCACACCCTGTGCTGTGTTCTGTTTTGAGATTCCGGTTGATAGAGTGTTTCATGGCGAATGTCAGGCTGGTTACAACACAATGTTCCCTTCAAGCTTACTCGCTTTCCACTGGACTTATTGTATTGAATAGATTCTTGGTTGGATGGAAGCAAACCAACACACGAAGCACAGAGGCCATACTTATAGTTTCGACTAGGCCTTCCGTACCATAACTTTCATCAGGACTTGCTTGCTGTGACGTTAATCACCATTGTATTCGACTTGAAAAGTAATGGTACGAAAGGCATAGTTGAAACTATTTGGCTTCTGTGCTTCGTGTGCTGACCTATTGTATTGTTTTGACACACTAGTCTGGCAGCACACTGGTAACCCGTGGCAGCACACTGGTAACCCGTGGCAGCACACTGGAAACCGTGGTGACTAGGAGTACCAGTGCTGCTCAGTGAGCTCTGATCACACGAGTCATCGCCACGCCACGTGCTGTGCTGCCCCTGGACCTGCTGCAAACACTTGAGATGCAAACTGGCGCGGGGTGCAAGCTTGAGATCGTATATCATCGCGCAGCACTGTAGTGCAGGGGTGCCTTTATAATGCGGCGCCAATTGTGCTAGGGAAATTCTGCTGGATTAGGGAGGGTACGGGATTAACAAATCTGAATGTGCATGAAAAGGAGAGCACTTTGGTTGCTGAAAGTTATACTGGTTTATAGAGGGTGCTGGTTTATAAAGACACGTGCTGGATTAAAGAGGGACGGCTGTACCAGTATACGTAGATGCAGCCTGAACTCCTTACCGACAGCTTGTCTCGGAGTGATGTGATCTCGGCCTCCAGTATCGGCGAAGAAGCAGCATTTTCACGCTCGCGTTCCTGATGCATACAGAATGGAGACGAAAGGATCAGGGGTTTTTAGGTGTTGAGAAATCGGAAATGGAACGGACCAACGTTTTTTTCAGAAATAAACAGCATCGCGTGCGAAGGGAAATGATACCCAATGGGCTGTGAGTGCATCCAACATCCCCCGGGTGCCAGCTTGTCTGAATTGAACCCATGTACATTCCTTCTATCCTTCTTTCATTTCTTGCCTGGATGATGGTTGGTGGCTATCAACCCTCTCGTGCTATGTTTGCCAATTGGTCATGGAGCACGAGTGGAGTGAAAGAAATGCTTGAAGTAAACATAAGCACCCAGAACTGATTTTTAAGGGGAGGGTCAATAATATCCAGAAAAATGTTACCACAGGTTACGTTTGGCTTGCGTTACTAACTACTTAGTGAAATTGTAATGCACGACTCTTCTTCTACAAGTCAGCACTACGATAGCTAGCATTTTTAATTTTTAATACACCAGCACAAGCAGTACCTCAAGCTCCTGTCGTGCTGCAGCTAGTTGCTTCTGGACATTACTGAGGATCTCTTCCTGCGACTCCTTCAGGTTCTGATAGGCTGCTAGTGGCACAGTGGGCACAGCCTGGCTCTCCGTATCCGAATCGTCCAGTTTATCAGCCAAGACCGACTTCTCGTACTGAAGCTACACACAGTCCGTGAACAGACCAACCAATGCAACATGCATGCACACACACACGCACGCACACGCACACACACACACACACCATACTGGCCAACCCTCCAGTTTTTCCCGGGAAAATCCCGGAAAATCAACACTCCTCCCGGGGTCCCGGGGATTTTAAGCGAACTCCCGGAAAAACCACAGTTTTTCTGATACAGGATTTTCCTGAAAACTCCATGGTTTCTCCCCGAATGTCCCGGTTTTTTGAACTTTTTTCAAATGTATGTACGGTGCTCACTCGCACTTCAAACTGTGCACAGCACTTTCAAGACCTGGCCATTACATGCCTAGCCTGCAAGACCTGCACTGACAAAGTGACAGACAGGCGCCGACTGATCAAACTGCACTACAGGGTCGAACTGTGCTGTACGCAGATCTGCAGATCTGCAGAGTCGAACGTTTTTTGGGCGAGAAAAGCTGTTTTTCACTTGTTTTCGTGCCATCCAGGGATTTTGAGAGAAATCCAGGGATTCTGCATGTCTTGTCAAGGGATTGAGATTGTGGTGGTTGGTCAGTATGACACACACAGAGTCACCAGTCAATACTGCGCACAAGCACAGATCCCGATTCACGTCCAAAGTGTCGTCTCGGAAGGTTGAGAACGAACTGCCTCTTCTATCCTCGCCACGCCACACCTCAAAACAAACTAGTCAGTGGTTTTTCTCTAGAGCTAGAGAGAGAGCTTTTCATAGTTTACTTCAAGCGGCGACGGAAGAACTCATAATGGAGAACTAACACTGACAACGAATGACTAACGACTGTCAACAAACGTCTGACTCTGACAACGAACGTCGGACAACTGACGACGAACGTCGGACAACTGACTCTGACAACGAACGTCTGACAACTGACTCTGACAACTGACGACGACATGGCAAAAGGAAAACATGATATCAGAAATTGGTGCCCTCGTCAGCACAAAAGGTGGTGTACTCAGCACAAAAAGGTGCACGTGTCAACAACAAAGCAGCGCAGCAGCATGTACGGGTCAGCAACAAAGCAGCGCAGCAGCATGTACGGGTCAGCAGCACAGAGACACAAATACAGCAGCAGCTACGACGAAGAGACAACACGTGCAACCACATGTACACACAGAGACACAAATACAGCAGCAGCTACGACGAAGAGATAACACGTGCAGGCGCAGGTACAACACTATCCCCTACCAAAAAAAGACATCCACTCCTGTGGATGGAAGCAAAAGTGAAGTGTATAAAAAACGGAAGGAGACAGACCGGAGAAGAAGACAGAAAGACAGGGGAAATGAAATATGAAGCAACATAAACAGGCGACAATAAAACACAAAAGAGGTGGGCCACAACTGTTGAACGCATGACGAGTAGGCCAGGAGGGTTAACACCAGTCGGGAGCCCCACAAAACTGTGCACCATCAACGGAACCTGCAAGCAACAGATTTTTGCAGAGGACCCCGGCTGGCGAGCTGTTCGACCTGTGTTTGTCCCTTTGGATCTTTTATTCTTAGAACAGAACCAACCTAGTGCGCCACCCATCCACCAGTCATGACAAAACAAAAGTACAAATGCATGAGAAAACAGGTTATGCCGACGGACCCAGCGACGCTTCCAGGAGCGGCGAGACCGACAGTACGCACCGACCGAGAAGAAGACTGGGGCAGCAGGACGCACACTGGCCGGCTGTCCGAAAACCGATGGCGCTACAGAAACTCCGAGAATCACAGGACACACACAGAAAGAGAGAAGGACTGACGCAAACATCTCAGCCATCACCAAAAATCAGAAAAGCACACGAAGGAAGGGAAGAACAGCCAGGAAGAACACGTCGACTGAAACAGGAGCAATTAATCAGTGAGGACACCATTGAGGACACACAAACAAATCGGTTACCAATACGCAAAAGATAATGAAGAAAAACCACAGGGCGCTACCCTGCAAAAACCCACAGGGATCGAACCTGAAAAACCGCAGGGATTGAACCTGAAAAAACCGCAGGGATTGAACCTGAAAAAACCGCAGGGATTGAACCTGAAAAAACCGGAACTTATAGTATATCCGCTCGCAAAACCAAAAAACTGAAGAAAAGAAACTGTCAGGGACCGATTGCGACGCACAAGGGCCAACCAGCAACACCCGGAAACCATAACACCCGCAAGGCAAACCGATACAAAAAAACGCAGGATTCCTGCAGACCACCAAGCAGACCGTGGCTCACCATGATCAGAAGCCCACCCAGACGAACTAGAGAAACCCACATGCCGAAACACAATTATTACAAAACCACACGCTCACAAAAAAAATTCAACCTGGATCAAGAACGAGAATCCTACATGAAGTTCACACCTCCCACCAAACCGGAAGCCAACAGCTTTCCTACTTTGTTGACAGTGCATGACCGAGCCTGACAACGCTCTACACCATGTACACAGAACATGGAGAAACTACTACTAAAACGGTAAAAACACGAAACAAAACAATATGGATCGACTCCATACGAGGCAGCACCTCGAGAACGTTCAGGTGGACATCTAAACAAATCACGCGACACAGTCACACTATCGGAGCAGTCCGACGGCAACTCCGTGACAAGCACAAGTGCACAACACAAGACGAGATCAAAGCTAACCATGCTGAATGCACGACGAACATGCAAACACAAGTTCCAGATTCGAACGAGTAGCGCACGAACAGAAGTTTGAAATTTTCATACACAACAGTACAGTACAGGGTAGTCAGAGCACAACTAACACAACGGGGCGAACTTCCAACGAGCAGCAAGACTACACTTGTACGAGTACACACTCGAACACAAGAGAACAAGGTTCCACGGAATTCCTGCAGGGACCCGAGTCACCCGACGCAAAACAATTATTTGAAAATTCGAAATCGAATACAAGGTACGGCAACATTGCAACACATTACGCAGAGCAGACAATTACAAAGGCATGCTCACCTGAGTAGGAGCTCCGAGGATCTAGGAAAGGGTTGAACAGACGCAGCAAAGCGGAGCCATGGCGAGAACGCGAAGAGGAAAACGAAAAACACCGGCCGGAGAGCGACGAGCTTCAGGGTCGTGGGTTCGATTAGTTGGGCGCCAAATGTCGTCTCGGAAGGTTGAGAACGAACTGCCTCTTCTATCCTCGCCACGCCACACCTCAAAACAAACTAGTCAGTGGTTTTTCTCTAGAGCTAGAGAGAGAGCTTTTCATAGTTTACTTCAAGCGGCGATGGAAGAACTCATAATGGAGAACTAACACTGACAACGAATGACTAACGACTGTCAACAAACGTCTGACTCTGACAACGAACGTCGGACAACTGACGACGAACGTCGGACAACTGACCCTGACAACGAACGTCTGACAACTGACTCTGACAACTGACGACGACATGGCAAAAGGAAAACATGATATCAGAAATTGGTGCCCTCGTCAGCACAAAAGGTGGTGTACTCAGCACAAAAAGGTGCACGTGTCAACAACAAAGCAGCGCAGCAGCATGTACGGGTCAGCAACAAAGCAGCGCAGCAGCATGTACGGGTCAGCAGCACAGAGACACAAATACAGCAGCAGCTACGACGAAGAGACAACACGTGCAACCACATGTACACACAGAGACACAAATACAGCAGCAGCTACGACGAAGAGATAACACGTGCAGCCGCAGGTACAACAAAAGCGTCGTTTATTTTCATTCCTATTATTAATTAAAGGAGTGGGAATCAACAATGGAGTGGACATCAAATTTTCTTTCGCACTTTGTACTTTTGGTGGGTACACCACAGGCTAGAGACCTGACATCTTTGGCCGGGAGACCCAAAAAACACCTTGCCAGCACTGTGGATTAGTTGGCAGCCACCACAGTTAACTAACTGTTTTGCCATGGCGTTTCTTTTGTTTCCTTACCAGTCCAGGGTAGTGTAAGAATGTGCCATTCGTTAGAGGATAACATAAAAGACACCGTAAACCATGTGCTTGGCAGTCACGCCATGGCCATGGGCAAGAGAAAACAAAGTGTCCTTTCTACAAGACATGCGAGATTACTCAATCTGCGGACAGAACTGTTTCGTCCTTCGTGGACTTATCAGCGCAGCACAGAGAAAATGAGGCCGAACCTGATAGCAATGAAAACCAATTTTCCAAAACCAGATTTAAACCAGGCCCGAGATATGTGAGATTATAGGTATTTAGCAAGTCATCTCTAACTGGAGCCTGTAGGGCTCCTAAGCTGGTACTACTGTAAAAGCCATTATTCTAACAAGGCGCATATATAACGATTTCCCAAAATTGACTAGTTTACGTGTACCAAAGGTAACGATTCTCACTCATTCTCAACGCTCAATAGGACAGTACTATATCGATTTCTATTTTAACGACAGATTTCTCCTCGTTAATTCGTTAGAGTTAGCACTTCGTTAAATATATGGCTTTTACAGTACCTCATTTCCTTGAATTCATGTCCGAGTTCAATACGTTACACGTCTGTACAATAACCCCTGAAGGTCAATTTCAACCAGTGCTGCAATTCCTACCTGCTTGACCTCTGCCCTCAGCGACTGCACCTCTTGGGAGGAATCCTGCTCGCCTTTGGCCGCGTCGAGTTCTTCACGTAGCTGTTTGATCATCTGCTGTGCTTTGATGAGACCTGTGTATTTACAGGTAGACGTAGCAGCAATGAAAACAATCTCAAGCTGCACAATATTCGAGTTACTCATTTCATTTGCCACTCCTGAAAACATCTTCAGCTTTGGTAGCTCGATGCCGGGGAATGGCAACATTTTAAATTCCTATCCAAAAAAATAGCACTCGCACACTGATAAATAATTATTATGACAAGCCAGCCATCAGGATGGATGGACACCAGAAACATAAGCCTCACCGATACTCTACGGTTCAACAGCTGGCCTCTAGGCTCTAAATGCATACAGCTTGGCATGGTCCAATAGGACATGGTGCACATGAGCACAGTGAAGTGAATGACTCCCAGCACTACTCAGCCCAGCCAGTGATACCGCGAGGAGGCATTCACTGCTAGATGTGCATGCAATCCCAACACACAATCAGATCAAGATCAAAGTATGTGTATAATACGAACGTACCGAATGCACCAGCGCCGTCCGCTTTCCTTGCTCCACCGACATCTGCAGGCACACAGGAAAACAACACAACGTAGCCTCAGCAGTGGTACATGTACTACTGCTTACTAACTGTTACTACTAGTGGCCTAGATTGTTCATGATGTATGCATGGTGTTGCATGATGTATGCATGGTGTATGCATGGTGTATGCATGATGTATGCATGGTGTATGCACGATGTATGCACGATGTATGCATGATGTATGCATGATGTATGCATGGTGTATGCATGATGTATGCATGGTGTATGCATGATGTATGCATGGTGTATGCATGGTGTATGCATGGTGTATGCATGATGTATGCATGATGTATGCATGATGTATGCATGATGTATGCATGATGTACTTCCTCCACGTCATCGAAATTGTCGCAGTTTGCCTAGTGACTTGTCACTTGTTACTGACAACTCCATAAGCCAAGCCATTCAAAACTTATTACACAGTATGATAGTCTGAAGACTAGAGTAACGTTCCAGGACAGTTGGACTGAGAGATTTCATGCAGAGGTGAAGTCCTCGTCGTCGCTGATGTCAATGGACGCAAAAATATCGTTCCGAAATATTTCAAGGAAGGTTGAAAGTTGGTCGCGCCTCATCTCAAACGCTTTGACTTTCTCCACAGGACAAGAGCTGCTATGCTTGTCGTCTGCTAGCTCTGGATGATTTCTACTTCACCACCAACGAAGCCTAGTAAGAATACACGATCGTTGCGAGGTCGGTTGATTACCGGCTCGATCTTGAAATGAACTTTTTTTTAGCCGTGGCATGCCCATTTATTTTAGCTGTTTGGTCACAGCTCATGCAGCTCAGGTAAGTGTACTATCGCGTCCAGCGCGCCCTGTTTTTTCAGCATCACTGGTAGATCTACACCATGGTACGGCACCTGCGCTTGCATCACTACTACACTAGCACTACGTGTAGAGTCTACACGGCTCTTGCAGGTACAGTCATGTACTGAGTGTCTCAGCCAGACCAACAAATTTTATCGCTGTTGCCGGCATTTAGTTTGCTGACCCCTCGATGTTTCTCCAAGCGCTGCCACTTGTTCCACGAAGTCATTCTCACCCCAGCTAAGGTAAAACAGTGATGAGGCTTGAGTGAATGGCCATAAGCACGAGAAATGTGCAGGCTGCAACGCCTGACTGATCTCCGCGAGTCGAAACTACCATCGCAGCGACATCAGCGAAGAAATTGCGTCTAGTTCAAAAATTCCAGCTTCCAATAACAGAAAATAGAACTTTACCGTCACCCTATACTGATGACTATCGCCTTTATCCCATTCCCTGACTCTGGTACGAGTGCTGGTGAGTAAATACCCCGTTTTATATCAAAAGTCAAACTGCGACAATTTCGATGACGCGGAGGAAGTATGCATGATGTATGCATGGTGTATGCATGGTGTATGCATGGTATAGTCTAGATAATATCAAGGCACTGCTAGGCATATAGGATGATGCCTTCGAGATCATTGCTCAGCCAGCCTGCCCCCCCCCCCTTCTCATAATATTTTATGATAGTTTTCTAAGGATGGACTCCCAACTACTCTAAGCGATTGGATAACAAAAACCCAAATTCGGATGTTTTGTGCACAAAGTGATCCCAGATTTTATGTGGTATAGATACTGGCCTAACGTTTTTTTAAACAGACGACTGTACTTTTGAAACGCCCTGCAGTCTGCAAACTCACCTGGCAATGTGTCTTCTTCATTATCGTCTGAGAAGTCCAACTCACTGTCCTTCTGTTTCTCATCGCTGTCCTCTGCCTGCATGCGATGATATCAACCACGTGGGAACACAGGCAGACAGACACACACATACGCACACACACACAGACAGACAGGCAGACAGACAGGCAGACAGACACACACACGTAATGCTTCTTTGCTGCAAGTCCATTGCTAGCCTGGTCAGTACCTGGAGCCAGAACACCGTACTTTTTTGGCTAGAAGTTGACCTTTCGGGGGGACCTGAAGCCGAATTTGAAAAAAAGTAGTCAACTTACACCCAGTGTTTAACCACTATTGAAGTTCAGTGGAGATTAGATATAATGACACTCCTTCGGGAGACAACAAAATGTCACTATAGTCGATCTGTCACTAAACCCGATCTTCGCAAAGGACTTACTAAAC